AAAAAACAGAGCAAAGAACAAAATTCCCTGTTGGTTTACAATCTAGATATGTACGTTACAATGCCTAGCTTTTGGTTCGGCTGACCTTTTCCTTAGAACTAGAACACGCTGTGTGAAGGTTTCTGACCTGCTGGTAGAATTTGGATATTCAGATTTGCAATGGATGTAACAAGTACCAAGTCAAACTTGCTTGTACTTTGTACAAGTAATTAAGTATACTAAAGTTCAAGGATTTCTAAATTGTCAGTCATCACTTACCAAAAGAGGAATTTGCCCTTCACATACACCAGAATGCACATACACATACTTGTGTGTTGAAAAACAACTCTGTTCATCAAAATATTTGAAAGTACTCACTGAAAGACAGTCTTCTATTCCGTATGCAGCAGCTGAATATTGATTGATATTATTGTATTCCAAGTTAAAGTGGTGTACATTTGGGAAATCGTTATACGTAAAATGGAATGTGCATGAGGTTTACTAGATTTACTTGAGCTATACTAACACAGTGTGGGAAAATTACATCCACAGTAACCTTATGTGCACAGGATCAATTTCATGCCTGGATTTTTTTTCGCCGGTATCGCCCAGGCTCATATCCACCCATTCTAGACCCCACTCAAGCATATCACGTCCTCCTGACGTGAAAGCCGTTATATAAATGTAATTTGGTGTTGTTATTGGAATGTGGAAAACAGGTGTTCAATTGTTTTCTCCTGCTTGGTGTCCACTATTATATTTATCAACTGTGAGTCAGCCTGGCTCAGTTGGTATCATTCTCGCTTCTGAGTCAGAAGGTTGTAGGTTCAAGCCCCACATCAGTGTCATAGTCTCAAAGTTGATATTTCAATACAGGCTGGTAGTGTGCTGCATTGTTTGAAGATGATAAAACCAAGGCCCTGTCTGCCTGATCAGGTTTATGTTAATCACATTGCACTATTCGAAAAGGGAAGGGAGTTTCTCCCAGTGTCCTGGCCAACAAATCCCTCAAATAAAATTGGTTAATTACTTTATGGCTGTTTGTGGGATGTTTGGCTGCTACGTTTGCCGACATAAAAATAATCACACATAGGCTGCACTGTACAGTAAATCCTGTCAAACACTTTGGACATCCTTCCGACGTGAAAGGTGCTACACCAAATGTAAGAATTATTTTTATTAAGTGCTTTGAGACACTCTTTTATGTTAAGGCTGCTATATAAATGCAAGTTGTGAAATTGTTAGTCGATATACAAAAGCGAATGCAGATGGATGTTACTCTATATGGGTCAATGCATTCTTGCAAGCCAGGAATAGCATTTATTTTATTAGCTGAGGAAATGGGTTTGACATCTGCCATGGTGCTGGTGAAGAAAAAGAAAATCTAGCAAGTGCCATATGTTAATAAAGTTTTAAAACAAAGTATATTTCAAAGACCTGCTCCACATTTATATGATGGAGACATTTAAAATCAAAATATGTCATTGAAAAGATGTGATCAAAGGATCTAAGTCATGGAGTGTGTGATTCATTCTATTCGCCAAACTCGACCCCAGCTCCCCATTGGCAATAAAAGCAAAATAATAAGCAATGCCAATTATAGGGTGAAGATTAAAGAATTCTTAAATGCATTCTGTTCCTTAATTATTGCTTAGGATAATTATCACAATTAAAATCCATTCCTAACAATAACTTTGGTACTGAACACCCGTGCTCTCCAAGCCTTTCAGAAACTGAAACTCCTTGCTTTAGCATTGATTGTGAGGGGATCAATTTTCTGATTTCTAGTCATTAGAAACATTTAAAATATTTACCTGAAAAAACATTTTTAGGTCAGTATCTCTGTAGTCCGATAAAGATGTTACGAATCTGCTTTAGTATTACCCAACTAGTGTATCTATTCATTGCATCTGGCAGTCAGAATCGGAGGAACAGTTTGCAAACTGAATGAGAATAAAAGAAAAAACAGCCCAAGGCAGGTTGTTATTTGGAGCCTTTGTGCTGAACTCTGGAGAACTATTTATATCATTGCATTGTTTGCTATTCAAGGGGCTGTGTTCATAATTTACACTGCTGTATAACTATGGAATAATATCTAGTTTGTGACACCACAGGAGGGGTGGGGATGCAGAGATACTTAGCCCATCATGTAATAGTGAAAAGGAGTATTGTGTTGTGTTAAAACCCATTTTGTTTCTTTGCTTTATTCTGCATTAATAAAATTGGTGGTATGGGTGGTAGATTGCACCTTTGTAGACGAATGCATTAAAGGTGCCTAGTTAATACTAGAATGACAGTCAAAGAGAATGTTGTGCTAATTTGTCCATTTACATAACCAATTATTATATCAAAATATGGATTGTGAGAAATGTTGACCAGTCCTGCAATGTTCCAGCACTGTACAAGCACATGATATCAAGGGTTAACGTTATGAGGACAGAGTCGAAAAATTGGGGCTGTTCTCACTGGAATAAGGATGATTAAGAGGGGATCTGATAGAAGTCATCAATATTCTGAAAGGTTTTGAGGGGAATAGTGAAAGATTATCCCCGCTGGTTAGTGAATCAACATATACTTGAGATTGTGTCACTGGAAGAGTTAAGAGAGGGGTTAGAATAAACTTGTTCTAGCAGAAGGTTGTTAGAATGTGGAATGCTTTGCTGCAAGTGGTCGTTTAAGGCAAGACCATAATAACAAAATTTGGAAGGGAATTGTACAACATCTGAAGAGGAACATTATAAAAGGGGATGGGACAGAGCAGAGAATTGCGATGACTAGTTAGCTCCAGCAGAGATGTTGGCACCCGTCACATTTTCCACAACGCAGTGGTCTCCTGTGGTACAATTTCTATGTTAGAGTCCTGTAGCTCAGTGGTTAGAGCGCTTGCCTCGCAAGCGAGAGAACGTGGGTTCGATTCCCAGCAGGGCTAAATGTTGGACAAGGTTCCTTACTTCACACACCTTTGTTTACCTAGCAGTAAGTAGGAACCCGGTTGTTAGTCGATTGGTGGATCACTTTTCCGGGGGTAGTAATCCCTTAAAAAAATTAAAATAATGATTTGGTCACTCAATCCACAACTGTTTGTGGGACACTGCAATTGGTTGCCGCTTTTCACCCACAAAATATATAATCAAAATATATCCTGTGAAGCGCTTTGTGACGTCTTGAAGACATGACAAAGTGCTAAATCAAATGCAAAGTTTATTATTATATGGTGTGAGTGAGCAGCATAAAAAATGCCTCTATTTCACGGAAAGCAAGTAAGCCTGATGGTAGCATTTTTTTTAAATCCTTAAATAACACTGAGTTCCTGAAATATTGCAACTGAAGCACAATCTTTTTGTCCATTGAACCTGTCATCTAATTTTATTGCTGTCAATTAAAGTTACAATTTTAGAATTACCTTCCCAAAAAGAGATTACTTTTCATTATTCGATCAGTGAGAATCAAAGGAACATTATTAAGCTTCCCTCCTTTGTCCTTTGGCACTATTATGACTCTCATCTTCTCAAATCACTTCTGAAGTAAATGAAAACAAATTGGTTTCAAAATGTAGCTCAGTTTAGGTATTGATTTTTACAATTATCTGCTCTGGCATTTCAAACATACATAGTTAAAGATTAATGTTTAACATCAATGCAAAATAGCAAATTTTATTTGTGAGAATAGTTACTGCATAATTTGACAATACTGTAACATTAGAGGTGAGGGGAAAAGAGGGAGGTGACCATAGGTTTTTGAAGTAGGCCTTTAGTTGCCTTTGAAGATATATCGAAAATGGGGGGAAATGGTTCCACGGGGTGGTGACATAGTGACTGATGGCTTGGGCCTTGATGATGGAAGACAGGGAGTCGGTGGAGCTTGGAGAGGATAGAGGTGATGGACAACGTCAAGCTTCTTGTGGGTAAGGATGTGTGCAGTGGGGTTAGATGAGTTGGAACATGTGAATGGTGAATCTGGCGAGGCTGGAGAGAAACATTTGAAAAGTTGAGTCTGGGGTACCAAAGACACAAATGAGGATTTGGGCAGCTTTAGATGCAATAGGAACTGAGGTGGGCAACATGGTGAAGATGCAGAAAAGCAGTCTTAGTCAGCGACTGGATGTGAGGGAGGAAAAAGAGCTGAGGGTCGAACTAAATGGCAAGGTGGTTGCGGGTTCAGTGAGATTAAGAGTGAGATGGGTGGTTGGTGCTGGAAGCAAGGAGGTATTGGCAAGAATTGAGGAGGGGATGGCTTCGGTCTTGTCCATGTTTAGCTGAAGCTCATCCAGGGCGTGATGTCTGACAGACAGGTGATCAGAAATTCAGTGGGCTGGAATCTTGGGTTGGAATAGATTTGGGGGCCATCCTTCTATATGTGGGAACTAATCACATAAACCAAGAAATAGAGTAAAGCGAGAACCAGCTGGTCACAGGACACAGATACGAGTCAGAGTAAAAAAGCAAGAACAAATTAATTTGGGTATTTGCAATGCTGTGTTTTCCTAACAGGCATCTTCTTCCCAACCCATAGAACATGGACTAAAAGGTATCAAAAAGGTAATAAAGGTATTATTAGTTGAGATGAATATTATCATGAAACTCTACTTGCTATATGTTATTACATTGTATTGAACTTTGGGGGACCTTTAAGTAATTAAAACAAGGCATTTTGCAAAGTACAAAAGAAACTAAAACAAGTTAAACATCCTGCAAAGTAACTCATATTGAGGTTGAAAATGCTGTATTTGCAAACTGTAGTTGACTTACCAGTTGCTACGTATGGTTTGGAAGGCTCTTGAGGAACCTGACAATGTCTCAGTGGAACTGCGATTCGCTGTTGTGGAACTCTCACACAGATCTCACATCTAATAACTGCAAACCGAAAGTCAAGATCAGTCACTCGGATCTGGTACGCGACTATCCCCTTTACGCCTCCCCTTTATATTTCTAACTTACACCAGCTATCAAAAACAAGCAGTCAGAATTTTAACAACACTAAAAATGAGTCCTTACGCTTATTCTTTTCCTTGTTTTTCTCAGACTTTGACGGAACCCGCCGCATTTTCGGAAGAAATAACCTGTCGGTGCAAGGCCCCTCACGAGAGACTAACCATTGCTCAGGCGCGTCTGGGAACACCAAGTTAGTCTTTGATTGCTCGCAAATAATTCTTCTTACATGAGCTCTATTACTAAAGTATTGGTGCCAACTAGATTAGTGCTGAGATCTCAGGTCTGTAAGTATTGTACAGGTTCCAGATATATCCAGTTCAGAACTATGAGACAGTATCTAACTCCTGAATGCTTTGCTAACAGTATAACGAAAACTGCAGTTTTGAATATTGGTCCATATACAATTCTTATTTTTGCAGCCTTTAATCCCCTTCATTCCTAATTAAATATGTATCTAGCTTTTTTTAAAAAAATGTTTTAATCAACACAGCATTGGCTGTTTTCTGTTTTAGCTAAGAGTATATTGCATATATCTTTGTCTCATGTCACATTGGAGGAAAGTTTTGCTCAATAAATACAAACCGGTTCTGAAATCAATCTGCAAGATATGTTGTATGCTGTCTGTATAGGTGTGTACTCTAGAGCTCTGCTGTTGCAGTGTCAGGTGAAGACAAGGGATTCCTTTTAAAACTAGTTTGATGTTGTGATGGGAATAGCTGGGTATTCTGGAAGGATGAGAGCGATTGGCCTGTAGGTCCTGATCTTGTGTTCCTCAAAAATGCTCTCAACCACGACTGAGTGGCCAGATAAAGAACTTCATGCTGGAAGCAGGTCATAGGAAGTGGGGAAGGAAATGAATACATAAATTATACAAGAAAAACTATGTCTGACTGTAGCCAGATAGCACTGTGGACTGTTCCCTCCTTCCTGTCATCTCTAAAATTAACATTCCATTGAAAAAAATAGTGCTGCAGATTTCAAGCATAAAAACGACCAAAAAGATGCGCAGCAGCCAAAAATGTGACAAGAAAACAATTAAATCGCAATTCCTGATTTCAATTATAAAAAATACGTAATTTAATTTGCGACACTTGCAAATCAGCAAATTGGAATTTCTGAAAATAGGACGTGGTATGAAAAAAAACTGTAGAGTAAAATTACATCAGCTTCAAACCTCTCCTCTGATGAAACTTTCTTGTGATCTTGAAGGTGGGTATTTTGGAAGGATGAGATCAAAAGATGAGATCGAAAGGCCGTCTTCATTCAAACGTATCTCATTATCTTGTGACCTTTTCATTCGCCAGCCACGTTTTACAAGCTTTCAAAATTCCAATTAGATATTTTAGAATATCACAAATTACACAGCTTTCAATACTCACAAAAATAAATCATAACTAATCCCATCTAAGAATATCCTATTTAAGATTATATTATTGGTGCTGTTAGACACGAAGATTCTAATAATAATCCTTGTATTTGATGTGACATCTGTAATATTGAATCCATTTCATGCCAAGAACGGCATCTCCAAAAGTGCAGTGCTCCTACAGTACTGTACTAGTCTTGGCCTGGATTATGAGTTCAAGTCTCAATTTCCTGATGCCAAAACAAAATTATAATAATAATAATCCTTGCATTTGATATAGCGCTTTTCACGTCTTCTAAACGTCTCAAAGCACTTCACAGAATATGCTGTAAAGTGAATTGACTGTATATTTGTGGGCGAAACGCAGCAGCCAATTGCGCACAGCAGTGTCCCACAAACAGTCGTGGATTGAAAATGACCAATTTATTATTGGTTTTGTTTTTGGAGGGAATTGCCATCGACTGAGGTTCCAGAGACTTGTCACACAATCTAAACAATTTTAAACCTCACAAAGGAAAATCTGTCTACATGTTCACTCACAAAATACATAGCCAATCCACTTTACAGTGTCCTGTGAAATGCTTTAAGATGTCTCGACGACATGATAAGGCGCCATATCAAATGCAAAGATTATTATTATAGCTGTACCTTTGTAACTTCATTAGTTGACTTCACAGAGAACTGTTATTTAATTTTCTCACCATAGCAATCCACATGCCTTAAAATGCAATAAACCTTATGATTTCAGCAGAAACATTACTGACCTATACTTGAAGATTTTTTAGTCCAATGTATTTACTGTGCAAGAATCATAGAAATTTACAGCACAGAAGGTAGCAATCCATTCAGTCCCATTCACCGGTATTTTCCCCATACGGCTTCAAATTATTCCATTTCAAATATCTATATTGTTCCCTGTTGAAAGCTAATGTGGATCTTGTCACAACCACTGCACCCAGGAGGGCATTGTAACTCCTAACAACTCTCTGTGTAACAGAGACATTCACTTTCTGTATTCTAACCCTATACTTGTTTCTGCTTTTTCAGTTGACAGACCAGTGAGAGTTTATGCAGATGGAATATTTGACCTCTTCCACTCTGGGCATGCCAGGGCTCTCATGCAGGCCAAAAATCTCTTCCCAAATACCTACTTAATTGTGGGAGGTAAGAACGTTGTGACAAAACAGATTAAATAAACTGTACAAAGCAAATTGCAGAAACAGTCTGCTTCTACTGAACAATCTCAACTCAAGACAAAACTTCATAAACTTAAAGATTGCATCTCAAAAAAGTGTTATGACAATTTTTGCAGTGTAGATATTAACCAATTTTCCCCATTAGATCTTCACCACTGCCTCAATTCTGCTGGGAGGTACATACCTTGTATTTTTGGTTGGTTGTATTTGTTGCACGTGAGTGACTGTATCTCACATGAGTTTGTGGAGCTCTTTTAACCATTGCCTGTTTGCACTTACTCTCAGTGTGCAGCGATGAACTAACACACCAGTGTAAAGGCTTCACTGTCATGAATGAGATTGAGCGATACGACGCTCTGAGACATTGCCGCTATGTCGATGAGGTTGTCAGAGATGCACCATGGACACTATCCCCAGAGTTCCTTGAAAAACACAAGGTATGCACTATTTTCTTAACTGTTCTTTGCTGATACTTTCCCAGTCACTGGGGTAGGAAATTTTCCCACTCAGCTCCTGTTAACCCTACAAACCAAAGGCCAATCATGTAGGGTGGTTCTCGCTGGACAAGCAGCAGATTCTATCCATGACAAGCTGTGCAGTTTTGGCTGACTGAACCCATCAGTACTCCAAGACACACTCTGGGGTCCCCAAGCCTTGGCTCTTACCAACCTGCTCTTAATAGTCTCCGGAACGAGGTAAGCAAGATACAGCCATCCCAGGACAGAATGCGTATTCCATTCAGACACAGGAAATTTTATGTGTAAGTGACGTGCATCGAATTCTTAGTCTGGTTTGGATGCTTTTAAGCATGGTAATAGATTTCTGCATGTGTCAGTCACCTGGCAGATCAAAAAAAATTCCGAAGCATCTGCATGGATGTTTTTATTGGATCTTTTCATAGCTTGTATACCATATACTAACCTTGTAATTTGACAAAGTCAGTCATACAATATTTTGCTACACATCCAAAATGTGCTAATGATTCCCTCTTTTTAACGTGAGCGAGCATGTCTGAACTAAACAAAGACAGTAGATTCCGCCCTCTACTGACAGATTACTCCAGTGCATCTTATGTTTCAAACTCCAAAGGTCTGAAATTTCTTCCAGGTTTCTTCTGTACAACCATTTTGTCTTCAAAATTTAGGATTGTATTGAAATATGGGAAATTCTTACCTTTGGTCTCAACTTGGAAGCTGGTTAAAAATTAAATTTGAATTGAAGGCTTTTCTGCAATTCCTGCACAATCTTAAAGACCAAATTGTCTTACAGGTTGAGAATAGATGAATTTCAGGCCTCAAATAATGCAATATTCTGTTTGCTTCCAGATGCTTATAATGGGGTAATATTTGTGATATTCCTCTTTGATTGAATTAGCACAAGGAATTTATTAAGGAATATCACAAATTTCTCTCTGTTCTTTGCTAAGTAAAGACTTTACACAAGTTAACTGCTCTCGTCCTCTATTTCCTTTGTAGTGGGCTTCTCCTGTGCTGTTGGTTGCTCTCAGTTTAAAAAACACAGGAAAACAGAATTATATGGTCAGTTTAAATCAAGGGATTTCCCGAATTAAAACTTTTAATATAGATTCACAACCACATTCCCGGTAAACACCAGGAAACTGTATAAATGTAAGTGTTAATGAACGCTGCAGATTTTGCCCCAGTATTGTGTACATCAACATTATGATTTACACTCTTAGGTTAAAAAATTAAAATTAATATACATTTATCCATTTATCTAAATACATTTTCATTGTAGTATGGTGTATTTTATTTGGACTCTAACAATAATAATATGTACTTCCTTCATAATAGTGGAAAGGTGTTGAACACTAATTATTATGTACATATGGAAAGGGATACACTGTACACTCAAGCAGTTTATATTCTTACATTGTGACACATTTAACACTCCACTTTCTTCTAGATTGATTTTGTGGCTCATGACGACATTCCCTATTCCTCTGCTGGATCAGATGATGTCTACAAACACATCAAGGAAGCCGGTAAGTTATTGCATAACATTGCAGTCTGTACTGTCAACTAGGTTTTAATTGGAGTTTATTCTAACTAGAAGCAAATGCTAACTGAAGCTAACTTTACTTATGACATACTAGTCATGCATCAATACCAGATGACAGATCACAGGTATGTATTTTAAAACAATTACGGCATTCAAAACAGTGTTTCCATTTTTCTGATGTTATAATGTCTTTAAAGTTTCACATGGCTTTGCATTTCACAAAACTCTCCATGTGTGAACTATTTATGGGTTTTCTATATCTTTCCCCATACAATATCATACATTCTTTTTCAGTGCTGTATCAACTGACTTTGACCAATAGCTGACAAATGAGACCACCTTCGGATGCAATGACCTGTGGCTGCAGTTATATGATCCACCAACAGGTGTCACATTTCAAGTGGTTGACATTAAGATTCTCAGTGGGCCCTAATATATGGATATGAGTAAAGATTTCCAGGGGTAAAGTGCTCAAACTGCAGGCAAAGATGTAGGTTTTCAGTCTGGGAGTGGGAACAGAATGGCTGATAGCTCGTCCAACAATGCTGGGGGTATATGAAGCTGTGAGGTGGGTGGTAGCTGAGCGGTGGGGGCAGCTGGGTTCGGCAAGGTTTATAATCATATTTATAATCAGATGTCACTTGCATTCACCATACAAATCATAACACCTTCATAATACATCTAGAATATTCTTCAAATTTTTCAGGAAGTTTAAAATAGGTTTCAATAAAGCTCTTGAGGACAATGCCAACATCAAAATCAGGCCCACTGCAGTGTAGCAGAACAGCTGGGGCTTAATCTTCTTCTTCTAGCTTCTATACATTATATTCTTGTGGAGTCCTGTAGCTCAAGCGAGAGACCAGGGTTTGATTCCCGGCAGGACGAAATGTTGGACAAATTTCCTTACTCCACACGCCTCTGTTTACCTAGCAGTAATTAGGAACTCGGTTGTTAGTCAATTGGTGGATCGCTTTTCCGGGAATAATAATCCCTCAAAAAAACAATAGTAATTTGGTCACTCAATCCACGACTGTTTGTGGGACACTGCTGTGCGTAATTAGCTGCCGCGTTTCGCCCACAAATATGCAGTCAGTTCACCTTGCAGTATATTCTGTGAAGCGATTTGAGACGTCTAGAAGATTTGAAAAGCGTTATATCAAATACAAGGATTATTATTATTATATAAATAAAACCACAATATCTGTCTGTCTGCGCTTCAAGAAGAATCTCAATAACCGATTGATGTAGAGACATGATTTGTACCTCATCGGAAAGGTCTTGCATCTGGGAGTGACGAGGGCATACTTGTTTTTGGGTGTCTCCTATCGTTCATGTGTTATGACCTAAAATGTATTTCAGTTTTGCGTTTTTCGCTGCAGTTACACCTGGTGGCCGCCGAGTCAAAGTGGCGCCGTGGCATCGTGCAGTCACACCTGGTGGCCGCGCCAGCTGACCGTGGCGCTGTGGCATCCTGCGTCACAGAGCACGCACATAGCCAAGCAGCGGCGGGAAGGAAATAAAGAACACAGACGAAGCTAAGCCGCAGAAACAACAAAATTACATTTTTAAAGCGCCTTTCATGTCGGGAGGACATCCCAGTGATTATAAATTATACATTTATATTTATCATTGTAAAGATGCCTAAGCGAAAATCAAACCTTTCAAGGATAAGTACGTGCGTCTGTCTGTGTGTCAATCTACATTCCATATTGGATCCTTTGGTTGCAAGCAAAGCTGCAACGGGTATGGCTAGTTTTATAATAAAAGGACACAAGTGGAATAAAAAGCAAATGAAATCACTGATATCTGAAGATATGGTGTCTGTTGACTGACACATTTATTCAGGTCTTTTTTAAGTTAGTGATTAAGTAATTCTGCTCTCATCCTATCTGAACTCCTAAAATGATTTCCTTCAGAAAATAGTCCGGGCCCTGTTGACCTTTGTTTGAAACATGAACAAACCTGCATGGACACCCATAAGTTTTGACTTACTTATACAACGTGTGCGGATAATTCCAGTGCTACCTTTCATCCAGTCACCTTTGCCTAAATTGTCCATTACAGAATAATGTGGTTTTGACTGTCAAACTTCACAGCCACTTTATTCATTCTCAGTCTGTGGTTCCATGTCAAGCAGGCAACATAATTCCAACCATTTATAATATTAGCACTATTAAACAGTTCATTACTGCAAATAGAGAGTATGAAAAAGCTATTTTTAATAACCCACTCACTAATGATATCAGACAATAAACCCACATAATGTTGGGTTTCTTTCTATTTAAATCTTCAGGTTCTGTGGATGCTTTAGCTCCTTCCCATCATGTTGAATTAATATGACATAGTCTTAATTTTCTGTGCATTACCGGTAAACAGGATTAGCTTGTGTGTATTATTATTTGTGGTATAAATTTGGGGTTGAGACAATGCAGATCACTTGAACTGGTTAAATTCCAACCTGACCTAATTCTCTTTCAATTAGGAAAGTAAGATGTGCTCTCTGGGAATGAGAGAGCTCCTTCCATTCCAGACGAAAGGAAGTCTCCTTATGTAGGAGGAGCTCTGAGTCTGGTTTGGATTCTCTGAAGCATGTGCCAGACACCCGGCTGACCAATAGAAATACTTTGCATTTTTACACCACCTTAAACACTTCAGACTCTTTCTGAAGGCTGTAGAAGTAGAATCAACTGGACTGTTTAAAAAGGAGATAGATACTTGGTACGTGTATTAAGGGCATGGGAAAAAGTGGGATTAAACAATCTGCTATGATCTAATAAATTGGCAGATAAACTCGATGGGCTGAATGACATTCTTCTGTCCCTATGTTTTTTCCCCAGAACGAAGAAGAATGAAACCAACACTATATTAGGAAGCTCTGTATAGTATGTACAGTTAATATAAGTTATCAAGGACCAAAGTAAACCAATAAATTTTGTCTCAAGCTTTTAAACACAATTCCAGTGACTGGATGCCTCAAGGTCAAATTCTTTCTATTTTTAGGTATGTTTGTTCCAACTCAAAGAACAGAGGGCATCTCCACCTCTGATCTCATCACCAGAATTGTGCGTGACTATGATGTTTATGCACGTCGTAATCTCCAAAGAGGCTACACAGCCAAAGAGCTTAATGTTAGCTTCATAAATGTAAGTACATTATTATTCTGTGAGCTTTCCTACAGTGGGCATGCTATTGCATGGCATATGGAATTAAATATTAACTCAAGAAGTGAGCTCAGCTTGATGCTAACCTGAAGGGATGTTGGCTTGGTTCACCAGTTACCTACAGAGAAAGAGAGATTGAACTTGGCCTTTTTCTTGGCTACATAGTGAGCTGCTGCTTTCAGCTGAAGTAAAACTAGGCACTTCCTTACAGGAAGGGAACAAATCAATCTTGGAAGCTGCCTGCTCTCATGCACCTCCTTATGTAGAACTCAACATTAACATTAGCAAGGCCATCCCTCTGACAGAAGATGTTATATGGAGCAGCAGGCAGCAGTGATAGCAGAGATGTGGAGAACCCTAGAAAATATGACTTTTAAAAAAAAGCAAAAAAAAATCTATTGTGTATTCTCTGTACATACATTCTGTTCATTCGTTCCTGCTGAGCTGCACATTTTTACTTTTCTTGCAATTTAGGAAAAGAAATATCGTTTCCAAAACCAGGTTGACAAAATGAAGGAAAAAGTAAAGAACGTCGAGGAAAAGTCAAAAGAGTTTGTTTATAAAGTGGAGGAAAAGAGCCATGATCTGATCCAGAAATGGGAAGAGAAATCCCGAGAATTTATTGGGAACTTTTTAGAGCTGTTTGGCCCTGATGGAACCTGGGTGCGTATCAAGGAGCGATTTCCAAAAGCAGAGCAAACGTTGGTGAAGCTTTATGGCCTGCTTGTTTATCACCCTGTTGTGTAAACCACATACAAGGCGGTGAAATTCTGATTACAGTTTAAATCCTTTCCTTAATTGAGTTTTGCACACGTGGTTTCTTATTGCTTTCTGTATTCTGACTGTATACTCCATTTGCTGTGAATCGGTAGTAAGCTACAGTCGAGTCTAACAATAGGAATGGGAAGACAGAATGGTGGGTATTCAGGAAGCAAGAGATCAAAGGCCCTTCTTCATTTGTACCTCTCTTGTGAATTAGCTGTTAAATGATCTAAAAGTACATTATACATTTTTATGGGACATTGTACCTTTAAGGGTCGTTATACCATAGATCCGGATGAGCAATGGGATGCTTTGTGTAACTTTTAGCAACACCATGTGAGGGTGCCAGATTGAACTGGATGGGATGGAGATATTTACATTTTGTAAACAACATCAGTGTAAAGAGGCTGTTGTTACTGCAGGAAACAATGACTGAATGTCCACAATTGATAGAATGGTGAGCACCTGCAAGCATTGGACGTGGAGTCTTGTAGCTCAGTGGTTAGAGCACTCGCTTTGCAAGTGAGAGACCTGAGTTCAATTCCAGGCAGGGCGAAACCTTGGGCAAGTTTCCTTACTCCACACACCTAATAATAATCCCTCCAAAAAAACAACAATAATAAATTGGTCATTTTCAATCCATTACTGTTTGTGGGACACTGCTGTGTGCAATTGGCAGCCGCGTTCGCCCACAAATTGACAGTCAATTCACTTTACAGTATATTCTGTGAAGCGCTTTGGGACGTCGAGAAGATGTGAAAAGCTCTATATCAAATGCAAGGATTATTATTATTATTATTTATGTGCGACAGGTCAAGTTGTTGAATGAATACATGCAGCTACTGCTGTGGAAAAGTGGGGAAGTATTATATTACTGTCATCTGAAGCTCAACACCCCTCACAGTACTCTCTCATTGGACGGTCAGGTACAGAATAGATTCTGAGCTCATGCTGACATGAAGCATGTCATCTAAACCTTCTGACACAGAGGTGGTATACATTCAGAAACTAATGTGGCATTACTTAGCGTCTGCACCAAGCAGGTAGTAAGGTAGTGGGTACCTGTAGCACAGAAGGAGATGAGACTTGGGTAGGAGACCAAAGAATTGAAAATATTTGATTTAAAATCTTTGTCATACCACTAGTGACCAAAACACTAGTGTCATGACATAGCAAACAATCTCAGAGCATCAATGATTCTATAGATCACACTGTCTGATCATACAGTACTTTCAGAGATATTGCTCTTGATTCACTTTTTTTGATATCTTACAGAAACAGGTATTCCAAGAAAGGGGTGGTCGGATGTTGCAAGCTTTGTCTCCAAGACAAAGCCCCACAGGCAGCCCAACAAGAGAACGACCACAGTCCCCAAACTCCGAGTGGCACTTCCCCAGAACCTCCCCCCCATCTTCCCCAAAAGCCGCTTCTGCCTCCATCTGTGGCATCAGTGATGGGGAAGAAGATGAAAAGTGAAAAGACAAGACCCTGCAGCACGTGAGCAGATGAATTGGATCAGTAGTAATATAATCTCAGGCAAAGACTGGCCTTTTTTCTTTCTTCCATAGTTCTCAGGCATTTAATAGAGTCTGACAGCTATTATGAAATACTGTATTACTAGTGCATTCGTCACAAACAGTAATATCTAAATGACTTTATATTGTACAGTAGCCCTCTCTCACTATTAGATGGTATTATATTATTCAGTATCTTGTTTTCCTCATAAAAAGACACCATGACATAATAAACATGTTTTCCTCATAAAAAACCCATATCAAAACATCCCCACTAAACACCTAAAACACCCTCCAACAGAATGTTATCTATTTCAGGTTGGTTTAATGAAAATACAATTATAATTTGCCAAAATCAAGTGTCAAAAGTGATGCAAGAAGCAACAAAAACAAACTAATATTTCCCACTGAGTAACTCTTAATTAGAATTTACAGATTGGGGTTGAAAAATGTGATGTTTCAGATAAGATTCGATAGAATTATCACACAAATGGGAAGTAATTCCATCTAGGGTGAGATTTCTCTATTTAAGTGGTACTTTAGAGCCTCTAAAATTTCATCATGTCTTTGAAGTCAATTTTCTGTAGTTCTTAAAAAAATTACAGAAAATCAGCTTCAAAAATGAAAGCTGTATTTAAGAATTCTGGATGTTCCGAAATAAAACCCAAAGAGAGTAAATCTAGACCCAGGTAGAATTTCTTCCCATAAATCTGTTATCACACATCATCTTTTTTACTTTTTGTTTTAAGAATATTGTTCCTCAAAATACTGTGTTGTGTCAAAAATTGTGCAGGTAACCTCATATTTGCAAAAAAAATCAATCAAAAAATCTGTATTCCTTGCATTGCAGTGGAAAAGTGACTACAACAAAAACTTGTATTTATATAACGCTCTTCACTGGGGTAGCATCTCAGATTGGTTAATGACTAACATATCACACACAATGCAGAGTGCAAATTTGCTCTTTTTCAATTCCTAGATTAATTTGGTATTAATCAATGTAACCCATGCCAGGGTTTTGAACACTAGTTTTACCCCCTTTTTGCCTTTTTCTGTATTTTGATCTCAATGTTCAGGTTTTTAATGCTGAACACCTACGTATTGCCTTTCGGTTTCAGTACGTTTTACCATTTCTAGTCTGTTCAGGTGGAGTTCAGCAGTGCTTTGCAATGGCAGGAATCACAGCGCCCCAACTGAAATATTTGCCTTCACTGAAAACTGATGTTATGGTCAGTCTCTTGGATTGAGCGGCATTTAATATTGGGGTGATACGTAGTGGATGAAGGGGAGGATGTAGGGGAAAAAACAAACTGACAGTCCTGCCTTGTGGAATTCACATCCTGACTGGTGCTGGAGCCAGCCATCAGGGCAAAAGACAACTTGCTCCTGACTGAAAATGAATGCAAGGCTAAAGCTGCAAACACAGCAGTGGGCAATCAGGAAAGGAGTGTGTACAATGAATGCTTCACAAGTTCAGATTATTGTAAATCCTCTCATCACCAACTCCCGGGCAGTGGAGGCATTCTGCTTCAGAATTAACATCAGAATGCTTGGTGATAAGACAATTCATTTTGCAACACCATAAAAACTGAAATCCAGCCCAAGATACCGACACAGTGAGTTTTACCGGCAGCAATGAGAGACTTGTACCTTCAGAAATTCTAAGCAACCTGCAGTGCCTTTCCTGCAGGGAGACAGCAGCTGCTCTCTGCATTAACAGCCTGCCCTAAAAATAAAGCGTTCATTAACATATTGATACCGTCTTTTCAGCTGCTTAAAGTCAAATTGTTAATAGTGTAAACAGTTTTGAATTCAATGAATTTAGTTGAACATAATACAAGGAAAAAATATTCCCACTAGTGATTTTAGCAAATTAAAATAACATAAAACTATATTAATGCATTCATTCAATATATAGACTTTTTCCCCTCCATTGTCAACAGTTAATCACTCAAAATGCAATTATGTTACAATCACTGATCTTTCATTGTGGGTGCCATTGTGAGTCGAAATATAGAGAGTATCTTTGGTTGAATAGCTAAACAACAACAAGATTCCATTTATAGAGTGCCTTTCACGTCGGGAGGACGTCCCAAAGTGCTGGACAGTTGGGTCAGGACCCGAGCAGGGGGGAAATGGTCAGGGTGAGGGGAGGGAGGGAGCGAGGAGGAGGGGGGAAATGGTCAGGGTGAGGGGAGGGAGGGAGCGAGGAGGAGAGGGGAAATGGTCAGGGTGAGGGAAGGGAGGGAGCGAGGAGGGGGTAGAGAGTCGAGAGGGGAGCTGAAGGCACAGTCAAAGTGAAAGGTCTTGAGACCGGCCTTGAAGGAGGAAAGGGAGGAGGCGGCGAAGGCACTGGGGGATGGAGTTCCAGAGCCTGGGGGCTGAGAGGCTGAAGGCCCGGCCACCGATGGTAGGGCGGTTGGGGCGGGGGATGTGGAGCAGACCGGAGCCAGAGGAACGGAGGGTACGGGTAGGTTGGTAGGGGGATAGTAGGTCGGAGAGGTATGAGGGAGCAAGGCCGTGAATGGCCTTGTAGGTGAGGATGAGGATCTTGAATTCGATCCTCTGGGGGATGGGGAGCCAGTGGAGGCGAGCGAGGGTGGGAGTGATGTGGTCCCGAAGCCTGGTGCGGGACAGTACACGAGCTGCAGAGTTCTGAATGACCTGCAGCTTGTGGAGGGAGGTGGCGGGAAGGCCGGCGAGGAGAGAGTTCCCGTAGTCCAGCCTTGAGGTGATAAAGGCGTGGACCAGAGTTTCAGCAGCGTGAGGGGTGAGGTAGTGCCGTAGTCTGGCGACGACAGAACAGAAGTCACCAGAGTACAGCATACAGTTCTGGTCACTGTATTACAGTAAGTTATTGGAAACGTGAAGGATGACTAAATTTACATTTGAAATTAGGCATTTAATTACAAGGAGGGATTACGGAAACTGGGTTTGTTCAAATTGGAGAAGAAAAGGCGAAGGTGTGATTGTATTGAAGTATTCAAAATCTTAAAAGGTTCAGATAAACTGATGCCTAATAAAAAAACACAAAACATAGACCCAAGATCAGAAGAAGGAAGTTAAGACTTTATTTACTTTATTTAGTGACTCATTTAATTTCAGTGAGTAGTGACTGTTATGGACTGATTTCAAAAAGGATGAGGAACAGATTGTACCAGCAAACTTGAGAAGGAATTAACTAATTATATAATAAAAAACTTTGGGGGGGAGGAGGTTGAATAGTGTAGGAATATATTTTTACTTTGGCACCAAACTGGTGGATTGCAATGATGCCTTTGGTCCTGTATGACTTTGACTTTGAATGCAGTGACCACTGGCATTTGCTGTAGAAACCATTGCTGACAAAAAAATCAGAACAGAATCAACCATTAACACAAACACTAAACATTCATCAGTTTGTCGAGGAATCTTTTGTATATTTTTAAAAATTAAAAAAGAAAAGAAACATTGGAAGTATAAGGGCCGTCTAACGTTTCAATAATTCAAACCCTCCTTTCCTTTTTACTAAACCTGCCGATTTGAATCAATGCAAAATGATAGACTACCTAACTGTAAGTATAGTCTTGTTCTTTGAACACAGATCAAATTCTGGGTATAAATGTTCAACGGGTGAAAACATCCAGAAATGTGTCCATTTTTACCATACATTGCCATTGTACATAAGCCTCATCTTGAACCACATCTTAGCTATTTGACAGATAACAACAATGAGAAAATATTTCACTGCACAAAATTTTGTTTCTGGAAAACTAACATTGAATGAGCTACATTGTTTCAGGCCAAAGAGATTTTTTTGGCTAGGGGATTAAAGCCTTGCATATGGAAGTTGAACTACATTGGAAGAATGTGAACGTCCGTGCATACAGTAGGAAACCGAAGAAATCTTTTGCCCCGTTTCTTCAACATTCACATAGGATCGAATGATGCAAAGGTAATCGACAGAGTGGGCTTTTGTGACCAAGATTTACACTGAGTTAGAGTTCTTTTAGTGCCATAGGAAAAGCTAGTACCAGCAATAGGCTCGACAACAACAACAACTTGGATTTATATCGCGCCCTCCATGCCGGACAGCGTCTCAGAGCGCTTTACAGTCACGGATCCCGGGACCGAGCCAGGGGGAGGAAGGTGACCAAAGGCTGAATGAATCAAAGGCCTTGCATATGCTATAGTTTATAATGAATCTATATTATACACACATTATCCTTGCAATAAAAGGTACAGATAAACTCCAGCCACACAAACAGGGATGCATGGGGAGATCCAGCCAGTGAGCTAGAATTTCCAGCTTAAGTGTAATTACAATGCCGTTTTATATTAAAAAAGTCACTAACTCACACGGACACCATATGCCAGAGATAGAACGGTGTGGCGCGAAACTATGGGTTGCTCAGCGCTGTGCTGATATGTGCTAGGAGAACGTGGATATTTTTACCCAGCAGAAATGTTTTAAAGATTTTTGGAGGGTTTCTGGCCTGATCAGGTTGGCTTTGAATTCCAGTAAGCCAGGGGTTTACTGTATAATGAATGTTTTAAACTTGCCCCGGGCCACATGCCTAACAAGGTAAAAGGTGAATGAACTGACAAAGCATAAATTTTGCTTGCCTTGCTGAAAGTTTTACAAAGTTTTATGAGCCAAATAATTTAAAGTCAGAGAAGCCAAATATATCAAACACATATGAACTTGCTCAATGGATTCAGTAAACTTGAAAAACCATGGATCTGGAATTCACAGAATGCTCCTTAAAATGAATTTCTTGCCAAAGTTCAAGTTACTATTACATCCCAACAACAACTTGCGTTTATATAGCCCTTAACTCTGGGCGACATCTCAGAGCACTTAACTTATAGTCGTGCTCTGGCCACCAATCAATTAACTTTTTCCTTTCAAGCTTTTAATTTTTTAAACATGTTTAGAGGGATCTGACTAGTAAAGAAAGGGAACTGTATTCAGTTAGGCCAGAGCTAAGCCACTAAATATAATGAGGGATGTGTAGTGGTTCTATGCTCCATTTGTTCTTTCATACTAGACAGTAAGGCTCCAGTGAATATTGATGTGTCTAGCATTTTGCTTAAGGTTGAGGGGAGCTCAAACTAAACGTCACTTGGACAGAAAAGGAAGATGGTGCGATCAGTTTATGAAATAGAATGATGAGGATGAATCTCAAACTAGAGCTTAAAATTAATTTCTAGGTGACAGGGGTCTCATTGAACCAAATTTGAATGCGGACTCAATAACAAAGGGCTTGATTGAGGTTGACATTGATAATTTTGAGAGATCAAACCCAGGTTAAAATATCAAACCTAACTAAAATAAAATCGACAAGGGCTTGATCTGATCTATGAAAAAAATAAATGATTACAAATACACAAATACAAATGTTATTATTTCCTTAACACTTAAACACAGCAACCTTGTTATTGATTGCTCTTCAATAGAATTTATATTCTACTGATTTCCAAAGCCAGTGTCTTCTGGCAATCAGCAACGTTTTCTAATCATAATAGGTAGTTTTAGTGTGTTTTTTAAAGGCCCTGAATTTAGTTTTGCTGTTCAAAATGTTGACACTTGTCATGAAATAAGACAGAAAATTGAATAATTTCCAAAAAGCACTGGCTCAACAGTGAAGTGAAGCTTAAAATAAACCAATGTGTAACAGTGATTTAAGTCGTGTTACACAGCGAAAGCTCTGGTAGCTGCTTCAATAGGTAAGCCTTTGAAGCTTTCACTTCAGCTCAATTACTCAATTATGAAGTCAGTATGAGCAGGAGAGATATTTGTTATGCATTCCTCACTAATTAATAGTGAGAGGGTTCCTAGGTTAGTTTATTAATTAGAAAGGCTTCAGGAGTCTCTGCCTAAAAGTATAAAATGCAGCAAGTCTGTTGCAGATAAATCCAGTTTATGCTTGAAGGCAAAATAAAGCTATGTCATGAACCATCTAAGGAAATCAGTGAACAATTAGCCTTTTGTTAAATCAATATGCAGTTAAAACTCCATATTGCAAACAGCTGGAGATACTGGCAGTGGAATCTGGTTAAAGCTTTAAATCTGCAACTTGAGGTTAATGACACATTCTTCAGCACCAGGAAAATATTTAGTGAAAGGGGACACAAAGAATAACAGCATTGATTAAATTGATGGCATAGAAATCCCAATTAAATAACACAATTAGAATAGAGTTAATGGTACATTCTGAAAATTGCTCCACAACACTATGATTGTATTTATTACACCTTTTAAGTGAATGTATGTGAAACAGAGTACAGCGGAAACTCCAGATTTCAGTTATTTATTTTAATATATATTTTTCTTTAACCGAAACCATTTTGAAAAATGTTCACCAGAAAATATGAATCCTTCTTCTAGGTAACAAAATAAATCTCTGATATAAATAACAACAACTTGCATTTATAAAGCAGCCTTCACACCGAACAGCATCTCGGAGCACTTAGGCAGTCAGGTAAGGGGAAGGAATGACTCAAAGTGGGAAAAGGCTCAGTGCCCATAAGATAGAAAGGTAGAATGCAATAAAGGATGAGTGACAGTGCGAGCATGAGGTTTTGCTTTTCGGCACATCAGTCTGGTGAGTGCAATTGTCAAGCCATAGTTTATGTGTGTAGTAATTGTCCTCGACTCTGGTTTCTTCTCAGCTGTTGTGTACAAGAGATGACTCAAAATATTTTGCTTAAGACATTTGCACTATCAGTCTATTGGTATGTACTCCACACATTCAATTGACATTCTTTTTTCTGAACACTCTGTTCCCCATGTGATGAATTGTTTGTTGTTCCTGTGTCCATTTTGTTTGAGTATTTTTTTAAAAAGGCATGACCAGAAACATGCCTTGATGTATTTTTATTATTTGAAATACACTAACTGTAAAATCAAAGTAGAGTAAAATATAATGATTTTAAAACAAATGGTCTCTTTATTTGGTCACCATCAATTACTCACTGGCAGGCATTTTCTTCTATCATGATAATAATCCGTGTATTTAATATAGCTTCATTCAGATCCATTCTGCAGCACAGACCCAGTGGAGCCTGGCAAGGACTGGGGTGAAGTGGGGAGCCAAGTGAGGACATGGGTGGCATAGTTTTGTACCATACAAACTTGATCTATTGCTTTTTCAAACATGGTTTATGTATGGTCTACTGCTTTTCCAATTATAATTCCTAGTTATACCACCTATTTTCTATAATGATTTTAGACACTATCCTGCCATTGCCTATCTCAGCTGTGAGCTTTCAAATTTTCAGGATAAGCACTGCTTTGAATTGTGGAGATCTCATGAAACATTGGATTCAGTTCCCCTTTTTCTTTTCCAAAACCTTGGAGCAAGTCCTATTTACTTGAAATTTGCTGGGTTCAGTCTTCTCACTGTTTGTGGCTGCCAGTGCAAGATCGCAGTGCCCCCAAGTCACTTTTTCAGAAGTCAAGTTTGCAGAAGTAGCAGTTTGTTTTGCTGTTCACAGATGAATTAAATCCTGAAGTCTCTTCTAAATGTCATTATTCTTTCTGCCTCAAGCCAATTAATTACCCAGCAGGGTTGAACACCAAATGCTTTCTAAAAAGATGTTCCTAGCAGATCCAAAGCGAAGGGGTAAGTTTGAAATGTTCAGCCATGCACATCTAACTAACACAGGAGAACAACTCAGTCTATATTCTTCGGTCAAATGTCAAGGTTGACCAAAGGGTATTATTGCAAAAAATTGGCTCTTTTTCTAATATTTGGATTAGCCTTGATACTGTATTTGCACTGATCTAGGCAGTTTAAATAAAAATCTTGAACCAGTGTTCTTAGGAAGAAACAATTCTCATTTGCAAAGATTTGTATTTATGTTTTTGCTACTAAAGTGACACAAGATCAAAAGGTTGTGGTCTCAACACAAACATCAGAATTTTGAGTTCAATCTTGCAGGCTCGATTGTTAATTAAAGTGCTGCCTTCAGATGAGGTATTAAACTGAGGTTCCATCACACGTGTCTTCTGGGGGCCATTAAAAACCCTATGACACGATTCTAAACCAAAAGAGAATTTCTCCCAACAATCCTCCAGATTAATTAGTTATTCCAGGGTGGTCCAACCTTTTGGCTGCTGAGGGCCGGATGCTGGATTTGGGAAATGTCCATGGGCCACCTACGCAATGTTTTTGTGTTTCCCTTCCAGAAACATAAGAATCATAGAAATCCGATGTTTGAAATTGTGAAACTGTATTACTTAATTTCACTATTTTAATGACAATGCAAACTTCAAATAGGCAATATAAAAATTTTATACAAATTTAAACAATAATATTACCAGCAATGAAGTATCTGTCTCTGTATGGTCTCTCTCTTCGTCTGTGAGTCTCTGAAATTTTCTCTCTGTGTCTCTTTTTTTTTTAAAAAAACATTTCCGGTTCAGGCCTGGTCCGGCTAGGTACGAATTCCGGATACCCAGGATCCGGTAGACTGGGGGTTTACTGTACATCCCATTATTATTTGTTCATTTGGCAATTGCCAATGACTTAACCAAAATAAATAATGTAGAAGTTATTAAAAATAGTTAATGGATACTGCCACACAAATACATTTAAAGCTGTGCTCTGTGGGGTGGCAAGGAGGGGGAGGAAGATAAGCAAAGCAGGATCTCCTTGGGGCTGAGTTGCCTCCAAGGTGACATGCTTGACAGTTCAACAATAACAAACAAATTACATTTGTATAGTGCCTTTCACATCATGAGGACTCCCAAGACGCTGGACAGTGAAGGATCTGCACCCGAGCTGGTAGTTGGGATCAGGAGGGCTGGAGGGTAGGGGTAGGAGGATGACCGAAGGCATGGACGAAGAGGAGGGTCTGGAGACAGGTCTTGTAGGAGGCAAGGGAGGGGACGAGGCAGAGGGACTGTGGGATTGAGTTGCAGAGGGTGGGGACAGAGAGCCAATGGTGGGTCGGGCAAGGCTTGGGACATAAAACAGGGAGGCTGACAAGTAGGGAGTATGATGAATGCATGGATGAGGGTCTTGCCGGCCTGCGGTGAGAGACAGTGGCAGAGCTGGGCAATATTGCGGAGATGAGGAAAGGCGAAGCAGGTCATGTCACGAATGAGGGGTATGAAGGACAGTTGAGGGTCAAACAGTATGCCGTGGTTCTGTAACATTAGCCCAACACGCCCTCTGGGTGCCCCAAGATTTGGGTCTCACCATCCTGCAACTTATATTTTTTGGAAATAATAACTTAGTATACAGTGCCTTATCATGTCAAGGCACTTCACAGGATTTACTGTGAAATGGAATGACTGTATTTGTAGGCAAACGTGGCAGCACAATTCAGCAATGTCCCACAAACAGCCATGAAATAAATTACCATTTTTTATGTTGGCCATGAAACTTGGAAAACTCCATTTTTTTTTCAAATCCTGCCATAGGATCTATAACATGCACCTGAACAGGCAGATGGGACCTTGGTTTAATATGTCATCTGAAGGATGGGAGAGGATTAGGAAAATAATTAGGTGCCCTCTTTGGATACTCTTAAGCATGCTGATTGATTTCTGCATGTGTTAAAAACTCTGGCTAATCAAAAAAGGACAAAAACATGCACAAAAAGCAATTTCACCCATGTGTAAGGTAATTTTAATGTTCATTGCGAAAGATCTACATCATTTTTCAAATCCAAATAAGTCTTTACAACAAAAATTCTAATAACTTCTTGGCAAATCAATCATTTACAAAAAGACACAAATGTATGCTTATCTGCTCCAATTTGCTATTTCTATTGAAAGCCTACAAATCATAAAATATCCTTCTTTAAAATTACCAGACCAAATTACCAGAGTAGGAATGCATACAAATAAATTGTAAAAAAAATCATCTACCTTCCAATGCTAGAAGATATCTACATTTTACTCTGCTGAAATTTTCTATGTAGAGACATTTACCTGGTTGCTCTCGATATTTGAAGGCTGCAAAGGCTAAAACATTGCTTTTAGAATATTGCCATTTTCGTATATACCAGATATAACTATTTTAATGAAAACAAACAACAAAATTCCACACTATAAAAAGCCACAGTGGGTGGTTTCTCCCTCATTAATCTCTATGGTTTGCAAGGAGCACATAAAAATCACAACTTCATCTGGGAGCCACTTTAATGCTGTTGGATTATATATAGAAAAAACCGTGATCAACAACCACAGACAGCAATAGGACAATTAATAGTTGTTTATTTCCTTGCTACTAAATCATTTGTGTCTTCCATAGTAGACTATAAAACTGTTAGGTCGATAAAGGTAGCTTTTACAATAGGAAACCAGATGTTTGGATGTTTGTTGACATTCAGAGATAAATAACCAGATAGATCCCTTTGAATAAGGAATATTCCCTGCTGATCTTAAAGGATAAAACCCAAAGACATTTCCAAAATTCAATCACTGATGTTCCAAGTGGATAGTTTTATAAGACTTCAGAAGATAATTTAACTCCTGAGTGACAGTTAAAAGTGAGCTAAATTCTTCTCATTTTCATAAAAGCATTATAAACCTCCTCAATGTGGGATTTTCTTTCCCATACAATTTTTTTCAAATCGATTTTTAAAAAGCTCTTAAATAAAAAAAATTCAGTTTTTTTGGCAAACAGCTGTAACAATGGCATAAATATACAGTGGAACTTAACTTGGTTTAGAAATCCAGTTGAGTTAATCTTTATAAAATATCTATTATCCAATAAAAATTTCAGTCTAATTTGTCTGTAAAAGTTGAGACAAATGCAATGATGAATCGCAATTTGTGAACTGTCAGCACGCATCAAACTGTTACAAGAGCAGCCATCATCAAAGCACTACTTTCTCAGCATTATATTGTGTAAACGATAACAACTTTTCAGGAAATGTATATAATTCAGGAAAAATAACACATTAAAACAATACAAGGATAAAGCAATTAAGGGACTGAAAGCCTTCCAGTCAGAAAGTAGAAAACATATGTGTTCAAGAACACTTCTGAATTATGTATTATTGTGGGCACCATTTCCAGTTTGGACAACAGTAAATTCTGTTTACACAGTGCATACTTACCTCATGTAATGTCACATGAAAAAACACAATTCTTTAAACATTTGCCACTTTCTCCCACACCAGCAAATATCTGCGTGATTAATTGGGTTAGACAGGAATTGAAAACGCAGCATTTGCAAATCCGAAGTCAATATGTTAGTTGTGAGTTCCAACTTGTATCTGAAATTGTGCATTTCACTGTTACTTTAAAACAATGGTTCTTGGCACTAGTCTTTGCTTTGATCTTTTGTTGTCTTCTCTCAGCCAAAGGTAAGACATGATTGCAAGTTCTGGTTTGCAATCATATTTGGCAGTTTGATTTGAGTCTCATCTTGGCTGAGCAAACCGTATAAAGACTGACAAAGGCAAAACAAAAATGCGAAATATGTGCGATCATGGAGTGGAATATGAATACCAGCATCAATGATAAAATACTGTATATGGACTCAATTTTATGTATACAATTAAAATCAATTAAAAATGTGTAGAGGAATATGTTTACTTTAAACTATTATAGATGGTGAGTGATATGTTTTTTTTAAAAAAGTAGACATATGGTGAGTCACCTAACCGTAGGTTTAATCCATCTGATTCCATTTATTTTCACTTCAGCCACAGTGCAACAGCCATTAAGTGAATTGGCTGCCACCTTTCGCCCACAAAATATATAGTCAATTCACTTTACAGCATATTCTGTGAAGTGCTTTGAGACGTCTCGAAGACGTGGTTAGGTGCGAAATCAAATGCAAGGATTATTATTAATAGTCACCATCCAATAAACTATGCCTGTTAAACTATGTCAGGCTGGGCGCAAGAGGAATTCTCATCTGAAATCTGTTCAACACAAGCACATTGTAAGAGACGTCCAATAATGATGGGAGTGTTCTCAATTTGAAAAGCAAAACCAATTTTTTATTTACATTATTCTAATCAGCAGATCATTGTGTAAATTTTAACACCAATACTAGCGTTTAGAATTAGCATTTGAAGAACTGGGAGTGAAACAAACAAGGTGTGTACACAGCATTTCATGGTTACTCCGATATTGATATCGGTCATATACTAGAGATATGTATCAAAGGAGCATCAGGCTCCTCACATGTATATCAAAGTTGATTTTCCTTTACTGGAGGGTTCATCTTTTACAAGCAAAGGAGTGCACAAAACAATTATAATGATCCACAGAGACTGCTAATGCAGCTATATGGACACAAATGTTCCAAAAATAAGTTATATATTTATAGAACTTTACATTTTTACAGAACACAGTTTAAGATGATGGAGTGAGGCACAAAACAAATGATTATACATTATTTTCATGGTTTATAATCAGCAGAACTCAGACTGAACTACAGCCTTAAATTTACTGCCCAACATTTGCTCTTCTCTAACAATACAACCTAGAATCTTTGTTACCACTCGCCAAATATTCCTTGACTTTTTTTAAAGCATCATATTAAGAGGTTGATACACCGAAAATACCATCACATTAGTAAAATATAATGTAATAGTACCGCACGACCAGAAACTTTAGACTATCAGGAGTTGGGACTGGGAAAGAAATGTTACTTTTAAAATAATATTTGTCATGCATAGACTTGGATTGTGTCACTAAAAGCATGATACCTCCAAACGTACAATGGTTGAAGGGCAGCAGAAGGGACAGAATTTTCTTTGGAAATCTGGAGACCATTTCCAGGCCTTGTGGAAAACAGAATTATGGTCTTGTATTCTCCATTCAATCTCACTGCTTTCTCAACTTTTGTGCAAGGCGGGTTCAGGTGAATGCTGACTTTTAGTGACTGAGCTTTTCAGAAACCATTATAAACAACTATTCAGATTCAGAGATGCAACCCCCCCTCACTGTACAGGTCATATTGAACAGGTCATCTTTTCACTTCTTTAATAACTCGCTTTTCCTATGCTGAAATTATCCTACTAAATCTGTGTGATTTGATACAGTTTCAATCAATGCTAAAAGTGTAAAACAAACTGGGGTTTAACTGGTAGCTTTTCAGTGAACACGTGAATCCATCTCCATGTAGTACTTGTTGAATTGATATGAATGAATCGCTGTTTTAACTTCAGTCTGTTTACAGCCAAATTAAAGTCAACTTTTAAACTAATAATTTAAGCTGCAAAGTTTGCTTTATTGGGTTACCTTGAGCTTTTCAAATTATTAGTAAGCTGACAGACGTTCTGGCTGTTTAATAATTGCAGATTCTGAATCTCTCTACCTTGAGCACTGCATTGAATTGGTGCTTAAAGTGTAACTGCAAGAGTGTGCATCAAAAACAGCATAATTTGGACTAAACATCCATTTCAGATAGTATAGAGATTATGTTTGCGACTGATAGATTTTGTAATACAAACTTTCATAACAACAAGTCTCTTTCAGGTGAAATAAAACCTGACCAGAGAACCAAGGAAACCTTTGATTGACAACTTTATAATAATTTTGCTTCCCAGCTGCTACAAATAAATAAATCAGTTAGAAAAGGGCACCATGTGAACATGTTCATGACAGTCTAGCCTATTACAATCCATATTGTATTGGCACAATATTTCATGTATTGCGGAAGGATGCAAATATTAAAACTTACAACATCTCTTATGCTGAATCAATTAATAATTCACTTGGTCATCTTTCAAATAAATTCTCTATATTGTAAATATATTTTACAACCGCTCTGAAATGTTACCCACATGAAGGATGCCATATAAATGCACATTGTTGTCATTGTTGTACATTTTGGACTAATTTATATTTATCAGGGGGGTGAAGAAATACATTTTCACTATTGCAACACTGTTTTAGATATCCCTGAACCCCTCCCCCCATTGGATTAACACCAACCTATGAGCAATTTTGTTATTTAGATTTGCACCTATTGGAAACTACACTGGGAATGGCCAAGCTAAAATCGGGCAAGAATTACAACTCTCAAGAGAAGAGCTTCACTCTATCTGCCCAGTCTGGCAGAAAACTGGTCCTAAAGGTGAAAGACAATATTAGGATAAGATTCTTGAAGATTTCTTTTGATTTACATTAAAAATTGGCACACATGTTCATCAGAACTGTTCTGTGCATTTCCTACTCTTTAAAATATTTGTAAAATCAGGTATCTATTAAACACATAGGTACCACAGAAATACTTTTAGCTGGAATTTAACAGCTTTAAAAAGCAAGCAAAAACATGAGTCTAACACAGGGGATATTGCAACTTAAATAAATGGTTTGTGAATCTAGCCATTGTCTACTATTAACAAATCAATTGTTTCTGTGCACTTTTCCTAAGTCTAGTTTTCTGAAATAATGTTGCCTGTTCTAAAAAGTACATTTTGAGCAATCACTCTGCCATTGTGGAGGATCCTTTTTCAATATTTCTGAGCAAACTTCCACACAATATATTTAATCACATAATGACACAGGTTAAAGAATACCCATATCACACATTTAAAAAAATCTAGTACAATCTGAAGTGCAAAACTGCATTTATAACAAGTCTTTTCAGTCTGAATCTTTGTTCATAAGTGCTATACATGTCCAGATAGAAGCTTCAACAATCAATAGAACTATTTACTGGCCATCTGGTGTTGTTAGATCCAAAGTAACAGACAAGTAAAACTTGAGTTTCTACAGAGGACAAAATTCTGGTCACCAGTTTAGGGATGGAACTAAATTATCTGTTGGCTTTGTATTTGGATGCATCCCTGGGTTCGCTGCTGGGATTACTCCAGTCGTCTGCTTCTGGAGTGGTTTGGTAGTGTCGCCAGGCTGATTTATTGAAAACAGGAAGACGTTCAAATGACTCACTTGACAGAGCCTGGAAAGAACAGAAAAACATGTGAGTGCATTTCAAAACAATACTTGTTTTTGAAATTTTAACAGTTTGAGCAGCAGTTTGATGGTCTGCTTTGCTATTTTAAGCAATTGCTATTTCTCTTTTCAGCAACCACTGCTATTTTAAATGATTCAGTTAGATATCTGATGCTGGACTTGACTAAGTGTGCTGCTGAATCAGTACTGTGCCAGAGGTAGGTCAGTATGTAAAAAGAGAACATTGCATACATGTAAAGCTATAATCAGTTTCCCAAGAAATGTTCTCCATTATCAGATTTTGTCAAAAGGCACATGAAATAGCTAACTTTTTTATTCTTCACATTAAATCACATTTAATCAATCAATCATTCTGAAATTATAAACACTTTTTTTTGGTAAGCCGGGTGTCTGACACATGCGGAAACCCATCACCATGCTTAAAAGTATGCAAACTAAGCTGAGATTTCCATGCATCCCACCAACACATGGAAATCCCAGAGATAGATTGTTGGAATGGTATGCCCACGCTCTCCCTGGAGGGACACATGCTGTTTACCTAATTCTGGAAAGTATTAGGCACAGGTTGGCAGGAGCCAAGGCTTGGGAACCCCACAGCGTGCGCTGGAGTCTAACCAGCTAAAATTGCATAGCTTGCCATTGTTATTGCTGTCTGACAAGCTTTCCCACTGCTTGTCCAGCTGGGACCACCCTACCTGTTTAGGGCTTTGGCTTGTAGGGTTAACAGGAGCTGAGTGAGATGAATCTCTGCCACCAGGTCATGCCGATAAGACAGGCTGCTGTGCTTCATCAGCAGTGCCCTCAAATACTGCGGACCCGCCAGGCTCAGGAACCGGATTACCGAGACCACCACAGAGAGCTGGCTTGATTCCGACATTCCATTACTTTCGAGGCATGTTACTTTGAAGCCAGTTCAGCTCCAAGTCACTTGCTGATCGTTCGAAATCTGACAAACGCGGGTTTGATCCTCACTAAGTGGATGGTAGGTACAAGGAACTCTCTGCAAGTTCCCAGCAAGCAGTCAGCATGAAATGGATGAGAGCATTGGCACAATCATTAGATGTCAGCCATAATTCTCAAACTGGATAGCAAATGAACTAGACACCAGCACTATAACCCAGCCTTGGTTCTTTCCTTTTATTTATCTACCAGTTCCTTCTTGGCGACATAATCAGCTCCCTTCATCACCAAAAACTGGTTTAAAAAAAACTGATCATGCTGGTGATTACCTTTCTCCCACCCATTCTCTATTCCCATTTATTCAGTGAACACATTAACCCTGTAAAAATGCTTTGAGATATTTTCCTGCATAAAAATCGCAAGCTATAAATACAAGTTTATTATTTTTTAGCACTCTGTACAATTTTATTAACATTTGCTTTGCTATTCTATACTTGTCATGGAATGGGTGAGGATTCATGTGGAGTATAAACACCAGCATGGATTGGACGGGCCGAGCGGCCTGTTTCCGATCTGTACTGTCTCTGTAAATCCTTGTCTAGCTCTATTTATTTCCCTGTGGCAAAGTTACATGTTTTGTTATCCAGAGATCCTCCACCGTAGCTATTTTGTACATTCATTGTCATTGTTCATTATTAGATGTTATTGAATAATGAAGTCCTGTAGCTCAGTGGTTAGAGCACTCGTCTCGCAAGCGAGAGGCCTGGGTTCAATTCCCAGCAAGGTGAAACCTTGAGCAAGTTTCCTTACTCCACATGCCTGATAATATTCCCTCAAGTGAAAAAAAAACAAAATTGGTCACTTCAATCCACGACTGTTTTAGGACACTGCTGTGTGCAATTGGCTGCTGCATTTTGCCCACAAATACACAGTCAATTCACTTTACAGTATATTCTGTGAAGCGGTTTGAGACATCCAGAAGATGTGAAAAGCACTATATCAAGTGCAATGATTATTATTATTAGTTATCATTGTTGAGTAACTGGAAATTGTTTGTCCAATTTTCTAAATTACATTGATGAGAAAATTACTTTGATAGATTTGCATCTAATTAGATGCAATTACTCTGATAACAACTGCAGCAACCAAATAAACAGTTTTTTAAAAAATATATAAACTACTTTAATATACTTGAAATATTATTGCATTTTTCAGGAAAATTGACTTAATAAAGAAAATCAATATTCTGTACAGCGGCACCTAAAAGACCACTCCTGCTTTGGAAAGAGACACTGTTAAATATGAATCCAAGATACTACAGAGCTGACTCGGAGCTTGAGCTGGGGGGGGTGGGAAGAGCTGAGGCAGATGTATGGATGGGAAGATGGGGGATAAGGTGATCAAAAACCTAATTGAAAAGAAAGGTCTTTAATGCCAGCTATAACAGTAGGTAGGGAGAGAACAAGGCAAAGTGATTCCAGGATGGAATTCCAGACAGAGGGGATAGAATGGCTGAAAGCTTGCCTACCATTGTAAGGATGGATTGGGAAGTGGTCACAAAGCAGCTACTGTTTGCTGAGTGGATGGGATAGTTGAGATGCAGGGGATCACAGAGGTTATAGTTCTATTTTGCCATCATTGCAAGCTACCTTTAGATAGATGACTGCATCTGTTCCCACACCTTCCATCGAGTAGAGTTTAAGGTCCCCTTGAAAATACCTAGCATACAGTCGGGAGATTGGTAAACCATATCCAAATCCAGCCTGTAGACAGAAAATAAGAAACGTTCATTATAGAATGCCAATATCACAACTACAATCTGCAACCAAAATTTGAAATGGTTGGGAGGAATTTTAGACAAGACAATCATTTCTAAAATTCATCATTTATTCATGGTGGGGAAAAGAGTTTTTGAAAGAAAAAGATAGATCAGAGTAACACATGGTTAGTGGCCCACCAGCGGTGTCTTGATGGCTAGCGGACGTTCACAGCACTTCAGTTTCCGATTGATACATGCACATTGTACTGACTGAAATCAATCGAGCACTCGCCTTGCAAGCGAGACACATGTGTTCAATTCCAGGCAGGCAAAACCTTGGGCAAGTTTCCTTACTCCACACGCCTAATAATAATCCCTCCAAAACAAAATAAAAAATTGGTCATTTTCAATCCATGACTGTTTGTGGGACACTGCTGTGCGCAATTGGCTGCCATGTTTCGCCCACAAATATAGTCAATTCACTTTACAGTGTATTCTGTGAAGCGCTTTGAGATGTTGAGAAGACGTGAAAAGCGCTATATCAAATGCAAGGATTATTATATTATATAATCAATCGAATTCAGTCTATTCAATGGCAGGGTTTGCCTCACTAAGCAGAATTAGATTTGCTGCTTTATTTAGTTACGGTATTTAGGACATCAACCAATCAGAATTTACAAAGGACAGGCATTTTGTGTTGAAGATAGAAAGGTTGGCACTGTGTGATGAAAGTGAAGAGCTGGTACCGAGAAAGAGAGGGACTGAAGGTTTCACATTAACACACAGCTTTTATCTTAAAAGCACCTGGTACAACATTAATTTCTGCGCCTTGTAGCTACTGGATGTTAAACACAGATACTTACCAGAGGAGCAGCCCTCGATGGATGCAGGGTGGGACTGGGGGCTGTTGAGTACATGTAATTAAATAGACGATCAATCTTTCGCAGAGGAACACCACCTCCTTTATCGCAAATCTGCACAAGGAAGAGACAAATTTCAACTGTTTGCTATGATTGAAGGGATTTCCCACCCTGAGGTAGCCAAGTAAATGACAACATTTCCAGGTTCACATTTTACCAAAAAATAAGTATATAGTAGGACCTTACAGAAAAATAAGTGCACAATAGTACCTTACAGTCAACAGTGATTATATATAAAAATGAGTAAAACATCCTGCACAGTTCATTCATTGTAGCAATTTTTCCCAGGAGTACCACAGATTAAACATTTCACAATATTGACAACAGAGCAGAATAATATTGCAAGCGTTAAAATATTTAAAGAAAAACAACCGGATATAATGAAATTGCAGAACTAACCTTAATAGACAAGTCTTCCTTCCCCAACGTGACTAAAGCTTTGATAGGTGGATATCCTTCTTTTCTGTTCTCATGAAGTTCCACAGTCGCTCTCATTGAATTCTGTGATAAATAAGTTTTTTTTTACATGTTTGCAAATGCATTTCAAGTCTGTTAAAGCTTTAGTGAACATCTATTGTAGAGAAGTGAATTTTATTTAATACATTTACAAGGAATAGTTTCATAACTATGTTAATAAACTGTTCAAATCAAGACAATTTTTATAACATATGGGATACATAAAATATAAAATTTTGTTTTAATGGAAATTCATTCAAATTACAGAGGGCATCATAATACTACCATCATGTTAACTGTCACACCAGATGTCATCCAGCCAGAGCATGAGAATAATTGCATTTGATACAGTGCATTTCATGTCAGGCAGACATCTCATAAAGCGCTTCATGTGATTACTTTAAAGAGCAGGAACAGTATTTTGTAGGTGAATACGCCAGCCAATTTATGTACAGCTATGTCCCACAAACATCCATGAAGTGAATGACCCATTTTATCTGAGGATTGTTAGTCAGAACACCGGGATATATTCCCTCCTCTTTTGAATTATACCATGGGATCTTTAACATCCTCCTGAACAAGCAGACAGGACCTAACTATAACTATTTACTGAATTTTGTTACCATTTCCACATTATTTAAATTATTTCATAAGATTTGATGTTATACTTATCGGTTCAAATACTTTTAAGAAACTGCAGTATAATTCAATAATTATCAACCTGTTTCAGGTATGAACATCTCTCAAGTCAACTTTGGTACAAAACTTAGATTTGAACTTTATTGTCACATCGGCTGCCATTGTTGTTTCTGATCATGGGGCGAATGGTGTTTCAATGCCACCTCATGGAACAATGGCATAACTCAAATAAGAGTTAGGTTGGTATTCTGGGAGATGGTGCTGAAAAATACAGTTCTTCACATCTGTGATCAGAAACAACAATGGAGGAACACAGACATCTGCTGTAAGCACTATGTACTAGCTCCGCGGAGCCCAATCATTTACCGAAGTGACTGAATCAGGTATGAAGTAAGTGTTTAATCACTCTTGAATTTTTTTTCCTGAATTTTAGCTTACCAATGTTTTTGAAATGAACTTCGTTTCTTCCATCCTTCCTTTACTAATATCTATCAAACTTTAAAAAAAAGAATATCCTGAGATAGGTGTCCATTTGGGATAAAGCTACTTTTCAACTGAATGTACAAGTAAAAAGTTCTAAAACTCCAAGTTATTACTGTCAAAATACACCAACAGAGAATGTAGATGATTCCTCCTAATAGGTTTAAAATCAAAGGAAACTTACCAATTTGGCAAGATAAAACTCCTTACAAAATTAAAGTGTTTAAATTATTGAAGTAACAGGTTACTGCTCATGGCCAGCATCCACAAGGACAGGTGTTGGCAGTAACACAAAGCAAATGTCATATACCTCAACAAACACTTTGTTTGTTTGTAAACCTTGTTCAATCAATTTTTAAGTTCAACAAGAACAAAAGAAAATTGTCAACTTACTTTAAATAATTCAAATAGCATGTGGAAGAGATGCGAGGGCACATACACCACTTGAATAGGCTTCACAGGTGTCTTAGCTGGAAGAAACATTTGTTTTACTGTTACTTTGCAAACTGATTAGTTACTGAAAACTAATTGAACACTGTATTTAAATTTACTGTTCAACAATTCAGTGTTCTACTCTTTCAATTTTGATCAGATGCCCTGGAAAGATTGGCTAATATGTCATACTACATGGCTTTCAGCCCAAGTTGGAATTATTGTGGCCTTATTAATACAACCATTTTTTCCTAAAACTATTTTGATATAATGATGGGATTGATGAGGCTCTTAATTGGCATAAGCACTGAATTCCTGGTGCCTTGCACTAAGAAAGCATTTCATGAAGTAAAATGTGTTTTCTTCAGGGAATTCTATCCTACACCTCCTTTGTGCAATGCAAAGCATCACAAAGTGTTGTCAATGTCAAGGCATCTCAGCTGCTCAAGCTATGTGCTCAGCATGCAATTGCAGCAAACAACATGTGACCAGAATAAAGCAATAAAATTTAATTTGGAAAACAATACCCATTAGAAAATCCATGCTGATAATTAATGTGTTTGGATAAAATATGTTATAGACCAATAAAGAGTCAAGGGTGCACTGAAGACCGAAATCACATTACAGCAGGTTTTGATAAATAAAAGTGGTTCATTCATTAAAGTACTAAAGGATGTGAGACATTTCGAATAGATGCATCAGCAAAATACAAAAAGCCAATGTACACATAGAAGTCATTGTGTAAACCTCTCATCTACTGTACATTAAGAAATTAAACACAGGGAAAAGATGCATTATTACTGAAGATCTGTACAGAATTCATGGCAAAAGACAATTTACTTAGCCTCATTATTGTGGATATACAGAGTGTATATTAAAGACTTGCTTATGTCAGGTAAGAAGTTCTCCCCGACAACATTGTATAAACTGGGACCTCTGGTTGAGTGATTTCCAAGATATTGTGAATGAAATGTAAACAGTCCACAATACAGTGACAGTCAGAAGGCTTGGTGGGATGATGGATACAATCATGAAACCAATTTTTTGTAAATCTATTTTATCACTTGATTGTGTAGTTACATTATTTCTTGCTGTATCACAATGTGCTGTTCTCAATTAATCTACAGCAACAAGAGTTAGAGAGTTACAACCACAGCTGTCCACTTGCAATGATGTAGGGTGGAGGCATGGGCACCAGCCATTGGTGGTACACTACCCAAAGGAGCTTAGACAATAAGTGATGATAGGCAATTTAAATAGGGAAATGGAAAGAGGTAAAACTCAAGACATTCAAACCTCATCTATTAGATGCACAGCTCCAACAGGGATCGATGAACCTTTCCTTTCTCAGCCCAATGTCAATGAATAAAATATACTCCATCACAAATGATAGTGTATTCATTAATTCAACCCTAAACTTAAAAATTGTTTTACCATTAAATTCTTCAATCTCCAAATCTGGGGATCCCATGTAGTACTGTTCACATAGCATCTTCGCAGTCTCATATGCATCTGTAGAGAAATGTAAATTTGCTTTATATCACACAAAATGCTATCAAAATACTTTGAATTTGTGTGCAAACATTGGTAAAATGCAGACATCATCTTAATCTAGGAGCATTGTTCAGATTGATTAGTATTATTGTTTGGCCATTTACAAAATCAGAGCAGTTTTGGATAAAGAAGATTCTAAAGTCTAGTTAATTTCATCCTTCAGAATATCAACTATATCTTCTCATTAGTCTGTTTATTAAGTAAATCCACTATCCTGCTATCTATGACCATTCCAGCTGTCGAGCACCTTCTCTGCAGAGAAATGCTTCCTAGTGTCTGTACTAAAATTAACATCAAACAACAATGAACCTATCCTCTTTTGACCTGCTGGGTTGGTGTACCTTGTAGCAACCTTGCTCCACTTTCAAACTATGCAGTTAAATTTGTGGCACTGGAATATTACCGATGGTGGACTGAGGGATATTGCGTGGTATACATCAGGTTTGTTGGGATTGTGCACATACGTTAATGATTATAGCTAACCTGCCTCAACAAACCCACTTTTAATGTTGGCAGGATTCAACAACTTGCTGCAGGCCTCAAGTCAAAGTGTTACGAAAGTGTTCTAACCTTTTGGCTGCTGTAGTCCGGATTCTCTATTTGAGAAAGGTCTGTGGGCCACGTTAAGCAATATATTGAGTTTCCCTCTAGAAACATAACATTTACACAGCACGTTTTTCATGTTGGATGGACATCTCAAAGTGCCCGAAAGCATGGTCAAAGAGTTAGGTCTTGACGTGCCTTGAAAGAGGGGAGGGAGGAATCCGGAGGGACTCCAGGAATGGAACAGGGGCAAAATGGTGATGGTGGGGCAGTTGGAGTAGGAGACGTGAAACAAGCAGGGAACAGCCAGATCGGGAGATCGTAGAGATAGGGTGGTGAGGGAGGTAGAATGAAGGACATAGAGAAGTTTTTCACTGGGGAAAGAGGAAACTTTCTGTGAGGAAACTGCACATCACTTGGTGTCTGTCCTTGGTCCCACCTGCGATGGCTGAGGCAGGCTCTGATCGTCTGTCGTGACAGTGAACCACAAAACTCTGCCCTCAATTCTCCTCTCACTCTTTTTGTTTCTCGCTCTACCCCTCTCTCTCTCTCTTATTCTCTCTCTCTCGCTCAATTACTCTCTCTCTCTCACTCACCAACTCACACTACACCTCCCCGTCATCTCACACACCACCTCCCACCCCCCCGAATCACTATCTCCTTCCTTTCCTCTGGAACTCCATCCCCCAGTCCCTTCGCCTTGTTTCCTCCCTTTCCTCTTTCAAGGCCGGTCTCAAGACCTTTCTCTTTGACCGTGCCTTCAGCTCCCCTCTCGACTCTCTATCCCCTCCTCGATCCCTCCCTCCCTTCCCTCCCCCTGACCATTTCCCCACTGCTCGGGTCCTGACCCAACTGTCCAGCGCCTTGGGACGTCCTCCCGACGTGAAAGGCGCTCTATAAATGGAATCTTGTTGTTTTTTCCTCCTTTCTCTCTCACACACACACAACACGCACTGTCCCTCTCTCAGTCTCCCTCTTTCCCTCTCAAACTGTCTGAATCACCCCCTCTGTTTCTTTCTCTCCCCCTCTCACTTTCACTCCCTTCCCCCCTCTCTCTCCCCCTTTGATCTCAGGCTGGATAAAATCATCCGCCAGTTGGACCACGCTGCCTCAAAAGTTCATTCCACAAATTCAGAACAGAAGCATATATCGAGGCCTAATACTGGACTCATTTAAGAAACAGCTTGATGCTCTAATGCTGTAAATTTAAAAACTTCTGCAATATTATCACGCTGAAAAAGTCACACCGGTAATATTTTCCAAATATTGCTAAAAGATTTGATGGAAGTGTCAATGCAATAACAAAACTTTCAGTGCTGTACATGAATAGAATTTATAGGTAAAAGGTTTAAATGTTCATTTTCAACCTTCACCATTAATTGCATTTTGACTCTCTTCATGTCAGCTAAATTGGGATTTGTCACATCAGTATTTTTGAATATCAATTTTAAGAATAAGCATTATGGCATTTACCTTTAACAACCTCAGCCACATTGCAGTTTGGGTCTATACTTCCAATATGCTTCGGATGTGGATGTGCTGGATTTGTGTCCCCACCAAAGAGTAGAGCTGCAGTAAATAAGAGGAACCTTTTCTTACCATTACTGTTGATGTAAATTAAATTGTCAATATAGCTTATCTTATTAAACAATGCACAATTCAACTGCCATTATGTACTGATGTGGGACTTTAACCCACAAACATCAGATTCAGTCAGAGGTTAGAGTGCTTCCTTTGTGTCAGGCTGACACCTAATGATTGAAGCTGTGCCTAATAATGAAATTTGGACACAGAATTTAAATCATTTCTCTTCTAAAAAATGTTAATTTAATAAATTCTTAATTATGCAGAAACTGTATCAGCCCTTAAATGTGCTCCCATTGTTTGTGGGACAAATTCTCATGAAACGAAGTTACATAGAATGAAATTTTATAGTGTTTTTCTTTATTATAAAGTTGTTACTTACTGTGCTGGTTAATAAGCATCCGGAATGAGATGCGATTGGTGTAGAAACGGTCCAGGAAGTACTGAATATTACTGCTGACAAATGGATCAAAGCCATACTTCTCCTTATATTCAATAACCCCCTGAGCCATGGTTGGCACCACATCATTGTGCCGATTTCGAATTTTAGTTAAAGATTCGAGGAAACTAGGAAAAACAAATCTAGGTCAGAAACTTAAATGTTCACACCCCCTAAAAAATCCTTCTCCAGCAAAAGTCATTAACAAAGGCAGTGAAAAACATTCAAATGCAGCCAAAGTCCATAAAAATAAAATCAGGTTTGCTACATGCTGCGTTAAACTAAAACACGCAAATGCCAAATTGAAAGTGAAAAGTTCAGAATTACAAGATCCACGTGTCAATGTGTCATTAGAAGATGTAAAAGAACTGATGAAAGTAACAGGCATTTCAGAGTAATACTCAGTCCTTGTGTGTGTGCTCACCCAGGCCTATAATCCATGCATGTGCATATAGAAAGGGATGCAATGAAATGTGAAGGTTGTGAGCTTTTTCACATCTCTCCTGCAAATGGAATTGTCTTGTTTCTATATTTAATATCCATAAATGAATAATTCTTTCCTTTTTTAAAATATATATTTAGAATTCATAGTGCTTGAAAGTTTGGGGGCGGTCCCAGGATCTTTGAATCTTGATGAAACATTTTTAAGTTGGAAAAAGAGATTTCACAATGAGTCCAGTTTATTTTAATAACAATGTCAATTTAAACTCCACTTTTCCCATGAGAACGTGGTTCTCAAGACCTTAAGACCCTCCTCTTAGACTGTGCTTTCGATCTCCCTGCTTCCCCCCTGCCCTCCTCCCTCCCCCAGCTCAGGTCTGTAACTCTGTCTGTCCAGCAACTTGGGACGTCTTCCCGACGTGAAAGACGCTATACATTATTACTGTATTGTTGTTGTTCTGTATTCACCAAATACATTTCTGAAGATGTGTCCTGAATCTTTTAATCAAAGAAGGAACACAATTGCAAATAAATATGATTAGCAAGATGATGTGATCTGAAAGTCATAGTTTGATGGTGTTGTATGTCCTTGGTCAGTGACAAAATAAATTATTTTTTAAAAACTTAAAGTGTATTACAGACTTCTTTTCCTATTATGAAATTTCATGGCTTTTGCAGAAAGATACTTTTCCAAGATAACCAATCTGATCTTTAGTACCTCTTTCCAAGTAAGTACTCAATAAGTACGATCATGGTTGCTTCAAGTTAAGACTGCCCCAAAGCAATGTAAAACACAAGGAACCATCTAGAGCAGTTTCAAGGATTCTCAAACATAGATAGAAATTTACAGAGTCTGCACCAACTCTCAGAGCAATGTGTTCATTCAATTCTATTGACCCACCTTATACCCATACCCCTAAGACACTTTGAAAATTCAAAATGATCTAAAAAGAACAAATTTGAGAAAACATGAAGGAGATGCAAACCACTCCTTGAATACCATCTGCCATATTTTAATATGCCTTTAATTAGTGGAACAAATATAATACTGGCCATTAACAGAGTACAAGACAGTATTTAATGGAAACATCTCACCCCTACTCCAAAGTCTGATAAAGACCTTTTACTTAACACTATTCTGTAAAATAAGCTATTTGTTTCATTCATTAACATTTCTTTTTAAGACAAAATTCTATAATTAATTGGGAGATGAGTCGAATTCCATTATGAAGGAGATAATTGTGGTCGATAAAATTCCGAACCTGCCAAGAACAGGGAGCAATCAAGAGCAGCAGTTGGTTGGCGTTTCCATGTCATAATGTCACTGATCATGACCAGTGACATTACTGTGAACATGTGTAGAAAACTGGTCAGCACCATCAGCACACGTCATGCTTGACATTACAGGCTTCAAATCCCATTGTTACTCTGGATGTATTTTGAGGCAGGAACCACATGATATGAAGTGCAACAATGGATTTGGATGGTGCAATGTCAGAATTTGAGATTTTTTAGATAAGAAAAATGTCAGGGTCCACAATCTTATAACATGCTATACCAGGATTCTTCTGTTTATTGTCTTTTTCCTTCAAAACCTAATATGCTAATGTATTAGATGTATGAAATAATCATAGATTCTTACTCATCCAACACTTGGGAATCTGCAGGACTTCTGCTCTCGAACTCTAGAAGCTCCAAAAAACTCTGCATGTACCTATAAGAGAGATTACATAATAAACAAAAATTTTTGTGTCAGTCATGGAATTTGTGTCAATTTGTTAAATCCTTCTCTCACTGTAAAGTCAATACGCTGCATAATGAACTTAACTTTACAGTCCTTATTTCAAATATGAATGTAATTCAATTCAAAATATAGACATTAACCGTTAACGGATCTAGATTAATAATAATAATAATAATAATAATCCTTGCATTTGATATAGCGCTTTTCACGTCGGGAGGACGTCCCAAAGCGCTTCACAGAACACACTGTAAAGTGAATTGACTGTATATTTGTGGGCGAACGCGGCAGCCAATTGCGCACAGCAATGTCCCACAAACAGTCGTAGATTGAAAAATGACCAATTTAATTATTGTTTTTGGTTTTTTTGGAGGGATTATTATTAGGCGTGTGGAGTAAGGAAACTTGCCCAAGGTTTCGCCCTGCCTGGAATTGAACTCAGGTCTCTCGCTTGCAAAGCGAGTGCTCTGACCACTGAGCTACAGGACTCCACAGATTGCAACATTTCTGGTATTTCGCAGATTTGTGTTCTATCCAGTTTCTGAATTGTCCTTTTATCTTCTTTGGGGGGAATAATTTAACATAAGGAATAAAATGGAACATGACCAAATAATGTTTTTTCTCTTTAACTTGGTTTCAGATTTCTTCAAAGCACAATTTGTATCAGCATTTTAATACACTTCCCCTACAAAATACAGTCACTTAAATTTTACAGTAAAATACTGTGAAGGACTTCAGATGTGACAGCATTAATATCAAATGCAAGGATTATTTTAGTTTCCTCTCTGTAAACATCTGGTAACCTGTGGCAAAGACATTATTGATTTTAGACAAACAGACTAACAAACAGCTTGTTGGAAGCAACTATAACAAAACACACATCAAAATCAAAGAAATTGAAAGAACTAAGCATAGTTATCCACTACTCATTTCGCTAATATGTTATAATGGAGCATGCACCTGCACGCCCTGAATTGTTACCGATCATCTATTTTGTGAGTTTTTTTTGCCAACATTCTATATTAAATAAAAGCTTCTAAGTAAATCATCACCACTTTAATTATTATTTGCATGGATTGTGATACCTACCATGTTTACCTATTGACATGCACTTCTAATTAATTTTTTAAGCCTCCTGCTTGTTCCTCACATCCTCTGCTCCACCATCAGAGGTTGTGCTTTCAGCCACTAAGCCCCGAAACTCTGGAACACTCTCCCTCCACATTGCTCCCTCTCTCCCCTTTTTCGAGTCCTGCCTGAAAACCTTCCTCTTCGACCCATGCTTAAGGCCACCACCCACCCTCTCCCCGGCTCGGAGTCAGGCTCCGCCACTGTTAAGCACTGAGACACTACCCTGCGTGGAGGGAATTACGCAAGTGCAAGTTGTTATTGGGGCTGGGTGGTGATATTTAGGTACATTTTATTACCAACCTACATTTTTTCACTTTATTGATAAAAACAAAACATGAGGAAAAAACACTGTTGCAAAATAAATATTAATTGCTTTAACAAAAACTGGGTGGCCCCGGGGCGGGGGGAAACACCAGCGAAGCTTCAGGAGCTCACCTCCTCCTGCCTCTTATGGACCAGCACCGCACAGAGACAGAGACCCAGAGGGACACACACACACTCAGACTGAGGAAAGACACAGATACACATTTACACAGACATTTATAAACACACACACACACACATATACAGAGGAGCAAGACAGACTCACAGAGACACTCACAAACACACACACACAGATACACAGACACTCACAAACGCAAAGAACGACACACACAGACACTCTCATACAGTGAAAGACACATACTCACACTGAGAGAGAGAGAGACACTCACAGAGAGAGACAGACGCACACAATCACACTCAGAGAGCGAGAGAGACTCATACACACACGCTCAGACACAGGCAATCACAACAGTGGGGCCTCCGAGTGAAGCCCATTTCCTGCACATGCTCGTCCAGAGCCACTCCGCCCACAGTGACGTCAAGCAAACAACGCTGAGGCCCGCGGGACAGAAAATACATTTTTAACAGGTTTGTAGCATATGGCCGTTCGTTGCGGATTCTGTGGAAATAGTGAGGCCATACTTTTCTATTGGCCCAGGTTATGAGTATGTGCATGTTAAATAATAATCCTTTTGTTTGATATAGCATTTCACATCTTCGAGACATCTCAAAGTGCTTCACAGAATATACTGTAAAGCGAATTGACTGTATATTTGTGGGCGAAATGTGGCAGCCAATTGCGCACAGTAGTGTCCCGCAAACAGTTAAATCAAAGTAACATCTGCACAAAGGCTCACATTGTAGATCTGCTTCTCCAAAGGCCCAAGGACTGTCAAATTACTATGCAATGTTATGTAATAATAATAATCCTTGCATTTGGTACATTACTTCTCATCACAGGAGATCATCTTAAAGTGTTTCATAGGATTTACTGTAAAGTGTATATTTTGTAGGTGAACTCGGCAGCCAATTTGGACACAGCAATGCTTCACAAACAGCCAACCATTGTAGATCTTGTTGGCTCAGTTACAGGGAGAAACTCTAATTCCTATCTCTTAAATTTGTTTCTAAAACATATTCAGACATCGATCATAGAAGTATGATTTCATTATGACTAATACCATCAGTTACTTGGATAAGTGAAATAGGATATTTTAATTTTCTGACTTTGATCAGTTTCAGAAGTTCACCATTAGCAGATGGGACTGTATTCCTGTGCAATTCTCATAAAAAGATGCTACTTACCAGCTTTGTACAAGTCCTACAGAGGGCATTCTCAGCAGGTTATCAGGCAACAAATTTACTTCTCTCATAGTATTAGCCAATCGGACTGGTAACTCTTTTCGCAGGAACATAAAAGAGGTCTTTTTACATGCATTGTCAAGACCTAATTTAAAAAAAACAAAAGTAAATTATAATCCCCGAATGTACAAACAATACAAACTAAATTAAACAGCCAGAAGACAGTTGCATATTCAGTTACATTCATGCATACAACAAACAGCCTGGCTTTCTTCTTGTGAACTTTTTTGGATATCTGACCATTCATTTTATAGCAGTCATTCCAAAGTTTGCATTATGTGCTATATAAGCATTTTCACGATGGATTATTTTTGTTTTTCTTTTGTCATAATTTATTCCCTCAAAATTCTTTAAAAGGAAAATATCCACGGTAGGATTTTACTTTGCAAGCAGAATTAAAAGAAAAGTCTGCAGGTTTTCATAATAGTGTGGTTGAAAATGTTTTCACAAAGCAGAAGTGATTGAACTTACAACAACTAATGTCAGCTTATTTCAGTTAGTATTAGCCTGACTCAGCCTTTAGTTGGGATGTTAAACTGAGATCCTGAATGCTGGTTCAGGTGGATATTAAAGATCTCATGGCACTATTCACAAAGAGAAAGGAGAATTCCGTCGGTGCCTGAGCTAACATTCCCTAAGATAAAATTGCATCATTTACTTCATGGTTAATGGCGACACATTCTTGTGGACAACTGCAACTTCTTGCTACAGAATATAATTGCTATACTTTACAGTATATCCTGTGAAGCACTTAGAGACATGAAATGCACAATAAGGATTATTATAATAACTTCAGGGTTGCAAATATTGTTTAAAAAAAGACAATCTCTCAAACAAAAACACATTCTCAAGCATGCAAAAGCAACTTTGCATTCTGATCTTTTGTTAAGACTTTTCCAGGATTTCTTTGCCAAGAAACAGTCCAAAGTCTGAAAAAATATTGCACAGCAAAACAAATACAGCTATAAAATCATCTTTGCCAGCCTTCAAGACCACAACTTTCTTCCTTCCTAAATTTTAAATCATATTTCATAGTAAATCCTGCAATTTCATCCACAAAACAAACAGAGCTATTAACACTCTGATTTCCAGTTTCTGAAATATTGCTGAATTACTTTTTCCTCAAGGAAAGTAGAAATATAACTTGAGTAGATATTGAGCCAACCCCCCACCCAATGATTCCTTCCTTGTGTCCTTTGTTAATCCACCAAATCAGAAGTCCCAGCCTTCTGTCTCCCCCCTCTCTCTCTCTTGCAATTACTTTCTATTTTGATGAACTCCAATTGTGGGTTTAGGAAAGTGTCTGATTACTCCTGAACACCCCTTTCAGTTTTTGAGCACTGGGACATAGTATCTCTCTCTTCAGGAATCACTGATCTAAAAAAAAATTAATTTGCACCCCAATTAATTCCAAATGTTTCTAGTCTGTATCCCTAGGATATCCAGTATCCTCTTAGAATCAATACAGCAGAATTTATTGTAGCTATCCCTTTTGCAGATTTACATTTAATTGACAATTACACAGGTCAATCATCTTTGGGCAGATATGTAGGTAAATTGGGCACTCTGTATTCCCACATTTTACTCAACATTCCTAGGTTTGGCACAGGTACCCTCTTGTGAGAACATAGTTTGTAAGCATTCATTCTGGCTTACCGCTCCAAGTCGTTTCAACACGTGAAGGTCGTTATATAAATGAGAGTTGTTTAGAGCTCATTTTGTTTGAGGGAAATTCATCTCATGACTGTATTCAATTTCAATTTTTTTGAACACAATAGGCTTGATGTGACGTGGAAAGATATGGTTATCTTACAACTCGACAACCCCATGGAGCATGGCCAAATTATCTGAGTATTGGTCTCAACAATTCCATATACAAGTCAAGGGGCAAATGAAGGTATCAAATGAAAATGCACAATACTACACGATACACTGAAATCCAGTAGTTCAATTGCGATTTCTTTGCATCTTGGAACATTTTTCTACATTACTCATGGGATTTTCATCATAGGTAACTGATGTCGTGCTCTCACTATAAACAAAAAAACTATGATGGATGTTTATATTCAAACATGGGCTGTAGTAGGAACCTGGACATCTTAGTGGCTAAGGACAGCACTAGACCATATAGCCCAGAAAGGTTCTATCAGTGTCTGCATTAGCTGGTCTCAGCCAGGGCATTGCAAAGTGTCCCCGAGTTAGCGACTGGAAATGTTTGGTCTCTGATGGAAGATCTGCACATGTAAATGTCAGGTGAGGACAGAATGGAGCTCGTCTTGAATAGCAAGCTAACAATCACAAATGAATAACAGTCACTTTGGCAAAATACCAGAGCCTATGGAACTGTACACCAGTGGAAAGTTGATACTCCTTCAAAAGTTAAGAGGTGAGATGAGAAAATTGTATTCGAAAAAATAGTGGAGAGAGAAAAAACTATGCATTTCCCATTACCATTACACAAAAACTTTTTTAGTTACCTCACACACTTTGTGGTACATGTGGTTATCATGAAACATACCAGTGAAGTACCCTATAAAATAATTTACTTTAAATTGAAAACACGATTATGAAATTCAGCAGATTTCAATAATGCAAATAAATTAAAAAGATAAATCTCACATTTGCAACACACAGGATGAAAATAATTTTCATCATTTAATTTTCCTAAATATCAGCTGATCTGGTTGAAGACATACAATAATGTGCTTCTGAATCAGTTACAGCAAAGATGGTACAGTTAACTGGAAATATTACAATAGCTTTGTTTAATACTAAATCCTCAAGATAAAGGTTTGAAATGTTATAATAGGTTAATTTAACTAAACTGAACCTGTGAAGTACATACAACAGCACTAAAATTCAAACATTTGACCCACATTTATTTTGCGAATAGAAGCATGAGAAAACCCTCAAGCACTATAGAAACTGTCCAACTTTATGGCCAAAGTTTACTGAATTTATTCCTTGATTGAACCTAACTGCCATAGGTCATGACGGTAACCCAGAAAATATGCAGCATGAATTCTCAAAATGACATTTGTAATTTGATCAGGCTACTCATGCTATACGGTACTGAAGGTTACTGCGTCAGTACAAGCTTGTTTATAGAACCACAAGAACAGTAACCAACACAAAATCACATGTCTAATAAATAGGAGATGTCCAACCCACATGCTAGGATTTGATCAGATCAATTTTGTAAAATAAATCAAATTGAAGTACCTGTTTTTGATGTAGAAGTTCAGTAAGTGAAATTGAATTTGGATAGTTTACAATATAATTTCATCATTATACACCTCAATTGGATTCAAGATTCACTTTGGACTATGCAACTGTCAAAGATCAGTAAATTTACTAAAACTAATGAAATTATAATGTGTAAAATTCAGGCACAAATGAATATCCGCAAAACGCCTAAAAAATAGGTTTTGAGGAATTTTGTAATCACGATACAGTTTCAAGAGATATACATTTCTAATTGAAATAAACAGAAATGTAATTTTAGAGTAATGTTATTTGCATTTTGTTAAAATTGGCAGTATTGGTATTTAGGATTTCTGCTAGAATACTGCAAGGTGCATTGGTCTTAACAATAACAGAGAAAGTAAAATAATAATAATCCTTGCATTTAATCTATACTAATAAAAACAAAGTGTCTGTTGTGTATCTGACACTCACGCAATAACTGATTAACGTAGAGACATTATTTATACCTCATCGGAAAGGTCTTGCAACTGCTGTGTCATAAGCATTTTTTTTTTGGGGGGGGGGGGAATTTCCTATCATCGATGAGCTATATTAAAAAATGCTTTAATTAAGACCCAAAATATGAGGTGTGCATTGTATTCTCAACTACGTAGCGACAGAGGAAAGCACACACCGTTCCCAAAGATACATCTATATTCTGCAACAAATCTATGGCACTTTTTTCTGATTGTCATGGGAGCTAGAGTCCTCCCATGTGAGACAGACAGAGGGAGACTAAGATAGTGAGAGACCGAGAGAGAGAGACTGAGAGAGAGAATATATATATATATATATATTATAAAGTGTAGTGACTGCGTGTTTTGTGGGAGACAGAAGAAGACTGAGAGAGAGAGAGAGGTATGCAAATCTTCCAGAAGTTGAACTGCTGCCTTACAATATCTACAGATGGCTAATCAGTCGATCTAGCTCATCAAAGAGACGTCCCCAACCGTGCAGTTCTCGCTCAAATATCACAACATTTACCAGTGTTTTCTAATGGTAAAAACATTTCAATTATTTATACTCTTATCATATATTAATCAGACAATTTATTGCATTGCCCCAAAGTTGTATGTAGATTTTTGTATGTTGATTATTTAATTCTTCAATTCAGACTTATGCCAACAATTTATGACAGGCAGTCAGTGAATCTGAGTCACAGGCTATTAATGGACCAGGCTAGAGGACAAAACGCAGCAGGCTCAAGTTGGATCATTGGGTGCACTGTAGCTTGGGGATGGGGAAGACAAATTTGTTGTAGTGCAGGAATTTGTTTCTAAGAATACACTTGTTCATTTACCTTAGAGGCTCTGAGATGTTTCCCCCCCACATGAAGGCTGCTATATAAATGCAGATTGTTGTTGTCAGTCCTCATCTTGAATGAAGTCAAATTGCAAATCATATTTATTTAAAAAGTAAAATTTGCTTCACTGCAGCATATTCCATCATGCTGCAAGTAAAGTTAGACTTGTATACAGAAGATTCTCATTCATGTTGCATAAAAGCACAGCTCACCAGCATCTGACCAGAATCATAGAAATGACAGTACAGGAGATCATTTATCCCACGTGTATCTGCACTTGTACAAGCTTCCACAAATAAAGCTATCCACTCTAATGCCATCCACTTACTCTTCCCCCATTAAGTTTCTACTGACATTAGGTCACTCTCTGTAACTACTGGTAAAACATTTCACATGATAATTACTATTGTGCAATATTAACTTTTCTAAAATCAGAAACATAAATATCCTTCAAATATTTATTTAAGAAATTTATTTTGAGAGCGCAACCAGTGTGAAACCAAAGTAATAATACTTGCATTTGATACAGCACCTTATCATGTCGTTAAGACATTTCAAAGCACTTCAAAGCAATTGAGCATCATAATGGAGCAATGATATTTGCCATAATACAGGTGAAGTACATAGATTTGATCCCCTATTTCGCTGAGGTTCTGATCTTGGAGCAAAGGGAGCATTACTTTGGTCAGTTCTTGTACACATACTAGCAGACATGTTCAGTCCATCAATCACAGAGGCCTGGAAACATGTTGACTATAAACACAAATTGTATCAGTCCAGAAGATAAGGGGGCGGAAGGGAGCCTCAAGTTTTCCATATTAACTAGAGGACTTCATCAAGTGAGAAAGGACACATATAAATCAGTTGTAAACCCATTTTAAGCATACTAGCAATACCACTTCAGAGATAGTGATATCATGTAATAGATACCAGTGCAGGAAGACAATGAATTGTACCTATAGAATTAAGCAAATAAATTATTAGAACTAATAATTCATGAACACCAACCACAACTGTTGACCTTTTTCATTACAATGAAGTTGGGAAGGAATATAGGAACCCTGAATTCACGGGATCAAAACAAATTTGTTATACATGAGCTGCAGAAGGAGCAATAAAATGGTCAGCAAAGACGATTTGCAAGTCTTCAACTTAAAATGAGAACTATTGTTAACCATAAGTAGAAGGTTCATTTTCTTGAACCAGCAGTAACCAAAAGATAGATGGCACAAAATTAGTTAAAGAACATGCAAGTCATTTAATGTCAGGGTTCAAATACAATTCAAACTGAAGCCTTGTTGTCGTGAATTATCAGTCCACCAAATAAAGAACATTGAAATGTCTCGAAGAGCTTCACAAGTAATTACTATCAATTACAGTAACTGCTTTTGTAGGGAAACGTGGCAGATATATGCACAAGCAAAGTTCCAAAAACGGCCAAATGGTGAATAAATGATTGTTGGTCAGGGAATCATCTCTTTTTGAATAATGCCTTAAGAAGTTTAACATTTAATGGAGGACTTTCAGACATCAAAATGTCAGAAAGATAGCACATTAATAATGCAGCTTTGCACTGCAGTGCTTAGACTATGAGCTTGTCACAGTACTGAACCCACAACCTTCTAATGCAAAACTAAACTGACATATCATGCAAAAAAAACAAAATTGATACTAAGTGATGATAAACATAATACACTTGCAGACATGGCGCTGATCCACATGTGTACACGTAACTATTTAAAGCACCCAAATACGTCTTCATTCATTTTACAACTTAAGTTTATCCCAACATTTATTTATTCAATTTCAACATATTCAGGTAAGGTTTTACAAAGACATATGTGCAAGAAATGTTAAATTTCAAGCTACATTTCTTCAAAGTGTTGCAATTTAGTTTGTAGGTGGTTGCCAGTAAGACTCTGTACATATGCACGGAGAGGGTTTGTTTGTGCACTGCACATGCTAAGTAGGTAGTGTAAAATCTCACCAAAACTAAATGGATCATTACACTGCAGGAATGAAAGTAAGAGTAATCCTGATGCTTGTTGCCCTCTTTAACAGATAATCTTGCCTGTGCGTGTGTTAAATATGCAACTTTGCAGATTCAGGCACATTTTAAGGATACAACTATCTCAGCGCTCCGTGTGCTTAAAATCATATCTTTAAAATATTATATTCCTATATATCATTCAGTAAAATAAATCGTATTGCCTGAGTCTGCAAAACTCCACATTTAACACTCGCACAGCTCATCAGGTGAGGTTGTACGATACTATTTGTCAAATCCGGTGACTCAGTCAGTGCAGTGCAGTGCAGTGCGCCACCTGTTGCTGCCCACATCAACCATCTTGCGAGTCAGAAACAAAAACAGTGGGAACTGAGCAACTCTGCACTCGTCAGAAAGAATAGCACTCCTTTGAAAAACACGAGACTGGCGTTAGGACAGGACGGGAAAAAACCGTCCCAGCTTTAAACCTGATGGTTAATGACAAATGATCTTAAACTTTCGGGACTCACTGGCAGCTCAATCATTCCAACTCTGTGGATAACCCAGGAACGAACCACAGGAGAGGGCCAAAACATAGACCATTTATTCTAATACATCCCGGAAAACGCAAAACTGTTGCAGCTCCGTCTCCTGTGGTGTTTTTTTTCGCGGTGAAAAAAAAAGTTACGATACGCACAAGAGCCTCTCAGCAAAACCGTGAACGCCTGGACAGCGGCTTCGTTCTCCTGCCCAACACTGCACGGGATCAGCGGCTGGTTATGGCCCGGAGCGGGGGAGCGAGCGGGGGGTGACCGACCCTTCACCTTCATCAGGGCGGGGAATGAGCCCCCACCACCCCACCCCCCGCCCCCACCCCCCGCCCCCCCCACCCCCCGCCGCCGTTTCACCGACTACCAACAGTGCTCGATGTCGCCCCCATCGCAATAGGACACCGCAGTGAGGGGTCGGGTATACAGCGCCTACAGAGCTATATTTTACTGTACTCGCTCGTGTGCTGTGAGGGAAGGGCAGAGCTCTGTATCCGCCCTCAGTGTGTGGAGTAAACAACGGACTGGAAACACACTTCCAGGAGCCATGGAAAAGGGGAGGGGGGGGAGGGGGGGAGAGAGAGTGACGCCTATCACTCATTAAACACATAATAAAACAGCATCTCATCTCCGCATCCCCTTCACTCTACACCCCCCTCCCCCCGGGCACCCAGCCCACCCCCCCTCCCCCCCCCGGGCACCCAGCCCACCCCCCCCGGGCACCCAGCCCACCCCCCCTCCCCCCCCCGGGCACCCAGCCCACCCCCCTCCCCCCCCCGGGCACCCAGCCCCCCTCCCCCCCCCGGGCACCCAGCCCCCCTCCCCGGGCACCCAGCCCCCCTCCCCCCGGGGACCCACCCCCCCCTCCCCCCGGGCACCCAGCCCACCCCCTCCTCCCCCGGGCACCCACCCCCCTCCTGCCTCGGGGGAGGTGAAGACCGGGAAGGTTGTCAGGTACTCACCGAAATCCAGGAACTGCTTGATGGACAACGGGGAAGGGGAGAAGCGAGAGTAATACTCGATCTGGGTGGGAGTGGGGTTTTTCATGAGATACCGCAACAGCCGCATGATGCTCCCCCTCTACTGCCGCTCCGCCGGTGTTTATATACAACACATATAGATGTGCGCGCGGATACCGGAGCGGAAGCCGCGGCTCATCGCTGCGGCTGTTGTCGCTGTTCCGCCGCGGCCTCACTCTGCCTCTCGCACCTGATTCCCATCACGTCCGCACTGGCCCCGGTTGAGCGGCCTGGCCCCGCCCCCCTCGCTCACTATTGGTCCGCTCGCTCCAACGGTCGCGGCGCGCGGTCGGTTCCTCTGCGCTGCGCGTGTTGGCCCGGAGGAGCACTGTTGTCCCTCAGGCCCACCCCGGAGCTCCTCACCCGGAGCTCCACACCCTGGAGCTGCCCACCCTGGAGCTGCCCACCCCGGAGCTGCCCACCCCGCAGCTCCTCACCCCGGAGCTGCCCACCCCGGAGCTCCTCACCCCGGAGCTCCTCACCCCGGAGCTCCACACCCTGGAGCTCCTCACCCCGGAGCTGCCCACCCCGGAGCTCCTCACCCCGGAGCTCCTCACCCCGGAGCTCCACACCCCGGAGCTCCTCACCCCGGAGCTCCTCACCCCGGAGCTCCACACCCTGGAGCTCCTCACCCCGGAGCTGCCCACCCCGGAGCTCCTCACCCCGGAGCTGCCCACCCCGGAGCTCCTCACCCCGGAGCTGCCCACCCCGGAGCTCCTCACCCCGGAGTTCCACACCCTGGAGCTCCTCACCCCGGAGCTGCCCACCCCGGAGCTCCTCACCCTGGAGCTGCCCAGAGCTCCTCACCCCGGAGCTGCCCTCCCTGGAGCTCCTCACCCCGGAGCTGCCCTCCCTGGAGCTCCTCACCCCGGAGCTCCCCGGAGCTGCCCTCCCCGGAGCTCCCCACCCCGGAGCTGCCCAACCCGGAGCTGCCCTCCCCGGAGCTCCTCACCCCGGAGCTGCCCTCCCCGGAGCTCCACACCCCGGAGCTCCCCAGAGCTGCCCACCCCGGAGCTCCACACCCCGGGAGCTGCCCTCCCGGCACCGGAATGGGAGCAGCAGGAACCGGGGCAGTTTCAAAGAGAAGAGAGACTCGCACCACTTTCTCATGGCAATAAGGTTTGGACAGTAAATGCTGTCCGAGCGCCAGCATCGGCCCACAGCCTGAAGCAGAGTATGGGAACAGATACCACCCGACCGTCTTCTGTTTAAATATATTAATAATAAAAACAAAAGCTCTACATTCCCCCAAACCCCTTCCTTGGCAGGAGATCCAGCTCCATACCAGCTGGGGACAGCATAGTGGTTAAGATAACATTATTTAAATGTAATACATTGACATTTCAATCAAGAAAGAGATGGTAAGTTTAGTTTAATTGTGTAAAGCCAGTGCAGTGTATTTTACGTGCACAACAAAACGACACTTGTATAGCGCCTTTCACACCAGGAGACGTCCCACGGCGCTGGACGGACTGAGTTTTTCGGACCCGAGCTGAGGGTCGGGGCGGGGGAGGGCAGGGGGGAAGCAGGAGATCAAAGGGGAGGGTCTTGCGCTGGGTCTTGAAGGGGACGAGGCGGAGGGACTGCGGGATGGAGTTCCAGTGGGTGGGTGCAGTGGCAGAAGGCCCGCCTGCCGATAGTGGGGCGAGAAGGCAGGGTCCGTGACGCAAGCCGGAGCCCCCTGAGCGGAGGGAGCAAAGAGGGTGGTAGGGGGTTGGGAGGTCAGAGAGGTAGGGGGGAGCAAGACCATGGAGGGCTTTGAAGGTGAGGACCAGGATCTTGAACTGTACCCTCTGTGATGGGAAGCCAGTGGAGTCGGGCGAGGATGGGGGTGATAGGGCCGCGGAGCCTGGTGAGCGAGAGGACACGGGCTGCAGAGTTCCAGGTGATCTTCAGCCTATGGAGGGAGGAGTTGGGGAGGCCAACAAGCAATGAGTTTGCATAGTCAAGCCTCGATGTAATGAAGCTGTGTATGAGGGTTTCATTGGCCTGCGGTGTGAGACAGTGTTGGAGCCGGGCGACGTTGCGGAGGTGGAGGAAGGCAGAGCGGGTCATGGCATGGACGTGGGGTAGAAAGGATAGTTGAGGGTCAAACAAGACCCCAAGGTTCCGGACTGGCTTAGCAAGGTGGGGTGTGCAACCATGGATGGTGTTACTGTCCGCGCCTGAGGTGAGAAGACGCTGAAGGGAGCCAATCAGGAGAGCCTCGGTCTTGCTGACGTTCAACTGTAGAAAGTTAGCTCATCCAGGACTTGATGTTTGACAGACATTCTGTTAGGGGGAGCGATGGTCCTGGAGTCAAGGGTGGAGGCAGAGAGATACAGTTGGGTATCATCTGCATACATGAGGAAGTTGACTCCATGTCTGCGGATGATCTCTAAAAGCCAGTTTCTCTAGAACCATAACAAAAAGGATATCCTTGCATCACTGAGTTGTTGCTCAATCGATTTATCCAGGTGTAATTCTAGAGTTACTCAGAGCCTTACTGCAGCTGCTCGAGACATTCTGATTTTCCAATTTTCTAAATTTCAGTTTTATCTCTTTAACCATTGCAGCGTTTGTACGACAACAAAATGAGCCTAAATAGATATACAAAAGTAGCTCCTTATCCCAGTCAAAATAGCCAGGGTTTATTAGGTTTATCATGCTTTGGCTTATCTGAGATGTCCTCCTGACATGAAAGACTCTGTATAGATGTAAATTGTATTGTACAATATTTCTTGTACACACTGTTTTGCCAACTTGATAGGAGTGTATTAAATCCACAATAGACATGTCAGAGCCATTGCCCAAAATGTGTATAATTTTTCCCCCACCTCCACACCAAATCTTCAGACAGTTAGTTCTTTGTTGAAGGATTATGATTTAAAGATCATCATCAAAATGAGCTTAGAATATCATCAAATCAATCTTTTTTCTCCACTGTTAATTATTCAAGCTGTGGGTTGTACCAAACTAGGCCCTCTATGAAACTGCTCTTGTCATTGCTGTAGGTCCTTCTCCAGACTGTCTGCCGAAAGCAGTAAGTTAGAAACTTACTGTGGAACCTTATCAAATGCCTTCTGAAAGTCCATATAAATGTCATCCATAGACACTCTCTTATCTACCATTTTAGTGACCTCCTCAAAAAATTCAACTAAATTAGTCAGACCCTTCACAAACCCATGCTGACTCTCTTTGACTAGCTCATACCTGTCCAAGTGTTCAGTCACTCTGTCCCTGATGATGGATTCCAGTATTTTTCCTACAACTGATGTTAAGCTGACAGGTCTGTTGTTTCCTGTTTTCTCCCTCCCCCACCCGCCCCCTTCTTAAATAATGGGGTGATATTCACAATCTTCCAATTGAAGGGCGTAATTTCCGAATCGAGTGAGCTTTAGAAAATGATGATGAATGCATCTGCAATTTCCTCTCCTATTTCCTTTAACAGCCTGGAGATTTACCTATCTTGAGTCTGATTATTTTCTCCATTACCATTTTTTAAATTTATATTAATTTTATTAAGCATTTCACTTTGACTTATTTTTAGGTTCCCCTGTACAGCTGGTATTTTGTCCTCATCCTCTACTGTAAAAACACACCTCAGGCACTAACAGCATCAACATTCAAGGATACAAACTCCATCTCACTGAGCCAGTCGGGAACCTTGGAATCTTGTCTGACCCTCAACTATCCTTTCTACCCCACATTCGTGCCTTGTCCTACTCTGCCTTCCCCCACCTCCGCAACATCGCCCGGTTCTGCCATTGACTCACATCGCAGGCCAACGAAACCGTCATACACACATTCATAATATCCAGGCTCGACTACACAAGCTCCCTGCTTGTCGGCCTCCCCAACTCCTCCTTGCACTTTTTTGATATTGCGCTTTTCACGTCTTCTAGATGTCTCAAAGCGCTTCACAGAATATACTGTAAAGTGAATTGATTGTATATTTTGTAAGTGAAATGCAGCAGCCAATTGCGCACAGCAGTGTCTCACAAACAGTCGTGGATTGAAGTGACCAAACTTATTGATTTTTTTCTTGAAAGATTATTATCAGGCGTGTGAAGTAAGGAAACTTGCCCAAGTTTTCACCCTGCTGGGACATCTGCCATTGTCTTACTCCGCAGGCCGCGGAGACCCTCATACACACATTCATAACATCCAGGCTCGACGACGCAAACTCCCTGCATGTCGGCCTCCCAAACTCCTCTCTTCGAAGGCTGCAGATCATCCAGAACTCTGCAGCCCATATCCACTCCCGCACCAGGCTCCGCGACTCTTATCACCCCATCCTTGCCCGACTCCACTGGCTTGCCATCACATAGAGGATTCAGTTCAAGATCATGGTCGGTACTTTCAAAGCCCTCCACGGCCTTGTTTCCCCCTACCTCTGTGACCTTCTGAACTCCTACCAACCTGCCCGCTCCCTCCGCTCAGCGGGCTCCGGCCTGCTTCATGTCCCCCGCCTCGCCCGCCCCACCATTGGTGTACAGGCCTTCTGCCACTCTGCCTCCACTCTCTGGAACTCCATCCTGCAGTCTCTCCGCCTCATCCCTTCCCGTGCCTTCCTCAAGACCTGTCTCAAGACCCTCCTCTTCAACTTCGGTCATCTTCCTTTCCCCCTGCCTCCACCCTCCCTGATCCCGACCGCCAGCTCAGGTCCGAAAACTGTTTGCCCAGCGCCTGAGGTCGTCCTCCCAACGTCAGTCTGCTGGGGAATAGGGAGCCGGTGGAGTCTGGCACAGTGATTTCCAGAACTTACATTAGATCAAAAAGTATCAGAAATAATTTGCACTGAAAACTATTGATAATATTCAATTAGTACTGTAGTACGAAAAGAGATTACTATGTGCATTTTTACTTCAGTACAAGCAAAAATGTGTAATGCTTGCCATCCAGTGGTAGAGTAAAAGATGTCCCTTTATTTTGTGGTGATTATGAATTTAATAATACTCATCCTTACATCTAATATAGCACTTTATCCCCTCGTCAAGATGTCTCAAAGCATTTCACAAGAGTTACTGTGAAATGTAGTGACTGTGTATTTGTAGGCTTAGGGTTGCATTTAATTTATTTTTCACATTCCCAACAGCACAAGGGTACTTTAAATAGAAAATACTCCCACACAATTCCTATATGCACCAGCATTTCCTTTGTCTTTTTGCAAAACAATTCTATAATGTAATTTTTGTCGTTGTAAAGCAAAGATTTTTAAAATAAATGTTTTA